TTCTTTCCCGGTCGCCATTCTCCCCAATCAAGCTTACTGTCAAAATGGCTAGACTTCCCAGCAACCTCCCCACTGGGCTTCCCGCCCTGTGGCCCCTCCTCCACAATTCACTCACTGGCTGGCAGCCAGATGGGTCCTTTTAAAGGCAAACAAAATTAATCTATGGTGGAAGGAAGGGGTAGAGGCAGGTGATTGAATGAGAGCATGAGGGAACTTTCTGTATTCTGGGAGGATTTGGGGGTTATAGAAATGCATGCCTTTGCTGAAGCTCATTAGTAATACACTTAATATGTAGTATTTTGGTGGGTGTGATGGTGCACCTTGAATCCCAAGCTGCTCTGAAGCAAGAGGATCACAGGTTCAAGGCCAGCCTAGGCGATTTAGTGAAACTCTGTCTCAAGATAAAAAGAGCTGGGGGAGCCCTGCACAAGCCTGTAATTGAAGCCAGAAGTACACAGGCGGTCAGTGTAGATAGGTAAATAAGTCAGGTCAGGTCAAGGAGGCCAATTTTGAGTGAATCTGGGAAGTTGGAGAATGTCCCCTGAGGGATCTTATCAAGAACCTGCCCCAGTTCCAACCTGTTGCCAAGGTAACCTGCCCCAGGAATTTCCCCTCCCTACAGGGAGGTTGTTTGCTCCACCCTGCCCTTCCCCCTTCAGCCCACGTACTTCCCACCTTTTGGCCACCCCACCAAGCATTCCTGGGCCTAGTCACAGTGCACAGGAAGGAGAAAGGTTGGGGGGGGGAAGGCAGGAGAACAAAGGAAGCCTAGGACATATAAAAAGGGCAGAACACCTCGCTTCTTGGGATACCATGAAACCAGCTATGGCCCCCTTCTCCCTTGAGGGAGAAGTCTATGTTACCCCTTTTTAAATGAACCCTGCTTCATATGTTTGCCTAGGCCGGCTTCTCTAATGTTCAGACTTCAACATGTGGGGAAGCAGGTCACCGATAACCCATATTCCCAGTGACTTGAGAGGCTGAGACAGAAGGACCAATCACAAGTTCAAGGCCAGCCTCAGCCACTAAGTGAGGCCCTCAGCAACTTATGCAGACACTATCTCAAAAAAAAATAAATTGGGGCTGGGGATGTGGCTCAAGCGGTAGCGCGCTCGCCTGGCATGCGTGCGGCCCGGGTTCGATACTCAGCACCACATACCAACAAAGATGTTGTGTCCGCCGAGAACTAAAAATAAATAAATTAAAAAAATAAATAAATAAATAAATAAATAAAAATAAAAAATAAAATAAATGAAAAGAAAGAGCTGTGAATGTAGCACAGAGGCAGAACGCTCTTGTGAAGCCAGATTTACAGATAGGTAAGGTAATTAGTGTAGTTAGGTAAATTGGGTCTAATATCGAGTAAGATAAATAAAATGCAGGCCATTATCAAGAATGGAGTCCAGAACAGCACTTGGGGAAATTGAAATGTTAATGTCCCCAAGGCCTGGAACCCATCCTATGGAACTGTTAAAGAAGCAGCTCCCAGCAAGCAGGGAGGTGCTAATCAGAACCCCCCCCCCCCAGGCCCTTCCTGCCCAGATTACTCCTCCAGGCCCCTTCAGTCCCCCATCTCCCACCTTTTGGCCTTCCCACCTGCACTCTATCACTGCAGGACAGAGGCAAACCAAGGACAGGAGTGTGGGAGGACTAAGAGAAGACTTCAGCAAGAAAAAAGGGCAGACCTCTCCCTTTCTTCCTCCGGGGAGAAGTCTTTTCTAATGTCCTTTAATGAAGCCTCCACTGTCCACTCTACACTTGCTTGGAGTGCTTCTCCGGTGTTACCCTTCAGCATTCGGGGAAGCGGTTCAATTGCCAGTAACTCAACAGAAAAAGGGGTGGGGGTGCTGGGGGTGTATTTCAGTGGTGGAGAACTTGCTTAGCAAGTGTGGAGCATTTGGGAGTGAAGTGTACTTGAGTGTGCAACTGACTGAGATAGGAATCTGGTAATAAAGGGAGAGATACTGAATCTCAAAGAAGTGCCCAAGAACCAATGAAATGCAGAAAACACTCATGAACAATTGCAACTCCTGGGCCAGAGCCCTTGTAACATGAGGGTAATGTGCAAGCGCAGGAAAAACAGGCAAGAAACTCCCTCCTGACTCCGCCTCCAGTCCAGCCCCTAACATGAGCCCTCTAGAAGTTTTAACATACCACACCAAGGGGTGGTTGCACATTCTCCCTCGAATTTGTGTCTACTTTCCTAAATAAACCTGTCTATGCCTTTGGCTGGCACATACTGAAATTCTTTTCCACCACGTATGCCAAGAACTCCGTTGGTCCTGAGTCAAGTTTCTCCTTCTCTCTGGAAACTTCCCAGACCCTTCTTCAGAGATATTTTCTCCTATGACATGACTTTGGAATTCATTAAAAAAAAAAAAGTTGGATTAATGGGGCAAGATGATAGGTGCATAACAAAGTTCAATAAAATATTATTGGTAGAATTTAGGGGGTGAGTATTTGAGGGGCTCAGAACACACCACTCCAAAATACGACCATTGGAGGCCAAAACGCACCACTACAAGACATATTTCCTTGACATATTTTGGAAAACTGCAGACAGGAGAAGCTGTCTTTTGTAAAACAAATGTATATCTCTAAAGGAAATAGACATTAGGAAAATACCTGGATCAGGAAGATGACTGCTTTGAGATCACTTCTGTTACCTGAGAGACTTTATCTGCAGTCTTTATTCACCATGCAGGTACAAATCTCACCTTTCTCTGGCTTGTCCCCAACCCAGAGTCCAATTCCCTATTCTTTTCTTTAGCTCAGGATGCTTAGTAAACTTCAATCAACTAACCCTTCTATTTTCTAGAATTCCTGTGCATATGCATGCAATTAAAAATTTCCCCAATTAACCTGTCTATTCTTTTTTTTTAACTTTTCTTTTTTAGAGAATTTTTTTAATATTTATTTTTTAGTTTTCAGGACACAATATCTTTGTTTGTATGTGGTGCTGAGGATGGAACACGGGCCGCACGCATGCCAGGCAAGCGTGCTACCACTTGAGCCACATCCCCAGCCCCTATTCTGTTTATTTCATAAACTCAATTTTCAAAACTTCAGAGTACAGTAACAAAGTTTTCTCTCTCCTACCATATACAGGTGTTCACTATATGTTCAAAAGTTTTCAAACTAAAATGTTAAATGAAAATGCAAAGTAACTGCTCTGCTGGGTGCCTTTAAAAAATTTTTTTCTTTAAAGGAGGAAAACTTATTTTTTTTTTAATTTATTTTTTAGTTTTCAGTGGACACAACATCTTTATTTTATTTTTATGTGGTGCTGAGGATCGAACCCAGCACCCCGCGCATGCCAGGCGAGCGCGCTACTGCTTGAGCCACATCCTCAGCCCCAGGAAAACTTATTTTGGGGGCTTGTGGTTTCAGAGGTCTCAGTCCATAGGTGGCTGACTCCATTCCTCAGGGCCTGAGATAAAGCAGAATATCAGGGAAAATGGCCGAGGAAAGCAGCTCAGGACATCACACCAGCAAATAGGGAAACAAACTGCTTCCCTTTTGCACTAGAAATAAAATGCAAAGTCTTTCCAAAATGCAGTCTTGCCCTGCAAACCAGTTCCCTGGAGATCTCCAGGATCCTATCTCCTACAGTCAATCTTTTATTTATGTGTTTGTTTATTCATTCATTCATTTGTTTACATTTTTTGGTCCTGGGAATTGAACCTTCAGTCTCCCACATGATAAGTAAATGTTCCACTTCTGAGCAATGTCCTCAACCCTCTATATTTATTTATTTAATTCATTTATTGTTGGCACTTGTTGAGAAATTGAACTCAGGGGCACTTTACCACTGAGATACATCCTTAGTTCTTTTTATTTGTTTATTGAATTTTTACTTATCTACTTGGTACAGGAGGTTGAATCCAGAGGTGCTTTGCTGATCCACATTTCCAGCCCTTTTTAATTTTTGTATTTTGAGACAGGGTCCCACTAAGTTTCTTAGGTCCTCACTAACTTGCTGAGGCTGGCCTCAAACTTGCAATCCTCCTGCCTCCACTCCCCAGTAGCTGGGATTACAGGTATGTGCCACTGCCCCCAGCTCTAGATTTAATCTTTGAGGCAATAAATATTTATTGAGCACCAACTGTGTGCAGGACACTGCACTAGATGCTGGGGATACAGCAGTGAATAGGACCCACACTGTTTCCTGCCCCCCATGCATGACATGTTCTCTTCTTCAACAAGCCCATTCCCCCAGCAGGCCTCTGTGCTTCCTGATTATCTAATTTTAACTTAATTTGCTTGTGGATATGAGCTCAGAGAGGGCAGGGCCCTTCCCTGGATTGCTCATAATGCATCCTCAGGTCTAGAACAAAGCCTTTTTTTCTTTTTCTCTGTACTGAGGATTGAATCCAAGGGTGCTACACCCCCAGCCCTTTTTAAACTTTATTTTGAGACAAGGTCAGGCTAAGTTACTGAAGCTGGCCTTGACCTTGCCACCTCCTGCCTCAGCAGTCCCTGTAGAACAAATCCTTGTTTGTAGTTGGACCTCTGTAACAATGATTATTTATCTATCTATTTGTTTGTTGGTTGGTTGGTACTAGGGATCAAACTCAGGGGCGCTTAACCACTGATCCACATTCCCAGCCCTTTTTATTTTATTTTTTTATTTTGAGACAGGGTCTCACTAAGTTGCTTAGGGCCTCCCTAAATTGCTGAGGCTGCCTTTGAATTTGCAATCCTCCTGCCTCAGCTTCCCGAATCCCCAGGATCACAGGCAACACACCATGCCACATGGCCCTCCATAGCAATTATTTGTAGAAATATTAGCTAACATTTAGTTAGTAATTGTTATATATGCACCTTACTCTGTTTTAAGTTTTGAGTAGATATGTACTTATTTAATTCTGAAAACTAGCCCTATTGTGCAAGAGTAAATGCACAGAAAAGCTCAGCTGTGAGTTTAAGTAGTCTGACTCTGGCTGTCAAGCTCCTAACCATAACCATTATGCAAGATGCCTTTAAGTGAATGAATCAATGAATCAGACTGATCTGGGTCCAAATACTAGCTGTCATTTAGCCTCATGATCTTGAGCTAAGAGATTCTTCCCCCTTTTTCTGGGGGTGCTGGGGATTGAAACCAGGACCTGGCCCAAGCTAGGTAAGTAGTCGACCTCTCGACCGCAGATTCTTCATCGTTGAAGGTCAAGTCCCCCTTCCAAGTTCATGAAGATGCTGGAGGCTCTCAGATAACAGCACAGGCACACACGCACGCTCGCACACTCAATAACAATGCGGAGGGAGGTAGGAGCCCTGGAGGGCTGCGCCAGGTCGCCGCCTGGTGCGAGGTGTGGCCGCCTACAGGCAGCCAAAGTCTGGGCTCACAGGTTCTCCTCGTTTGCTGACACCCTACCTGGGGCCCAGGGCGCTTTCTCCGCCCCGCCAACCCCGAAGCCCGGGAAAAACTAGGCGACCTGCGAGATCGGCTCCTGCGTACATTCCCAACCTCGGGCGGCGGCGGCGGTGGTCCGGGAGAGATCCGACCGCGGGGAGAGAAGCCAGCCAGCAGGTGAGGGGATAGGCTGCTGCCCCACCCGCCTCCGCCTGATTTCGTGGGGGAGGAAGCCGCCTGGCTCCCGCCCCTCACTGACCCAGCCTCGGGAAGCCTCGGGAGGAGGAAGAGGCGACCTGCGAGATGGAGGCGGCCGGCACCTGGGTGCTGCTGCTGGCGCTGCTGCTGCTGCTGCTGACGCTGGCGCTGCCCTGGAACCGGGCCCGAGGCCACCTGCCCCCGGGGCCCGCGCCGCTGCCGCTGCTGGGGAACCTCCTGCAACTGCGTCCCGGGGCGCTGTACTCCGGCTTCCTGCAGGTGAGGGGCGGCGGAGGCCACCTGGCCGGGGGTTGAGGGTCCTCTGTGTGCCAGGGCACAGGGGTTCTCGAGTGTCCCAGGAATATCCCAGAGCAAAGGGGCTAGGATGCCCTGCGAGATGGAGGACAGGAGCAGGTTGTCCAGGGTTGAGAAGGAGAGGGGTACCCTGGAGAGAGTATCCTCGCTGGGGACCGGGCTGGGAGGGGCAGAGCCCCCAGATTCCTGGAGGGGGGTGAGAGGTAGGAAGCAGGGGTTCCAGGGCAGAGGACTCCACAGAATGCTGGGGAGCTGGTGGCCTGGGACCAAAGGTTAGGATGGAGCCTTCAAAAGTAGTGGCTGGTGGTACTGGGCTTGTCCCCGGAGGAGAGGAAGTGTCCTGAGTGGGGATGAGAAGAAGGAAGCGAGGGTCTCTGGGGTGCTGTGGAGGGGGAGGGAGGTCGGAGGTCTCTGGGCTCCGAGGAGGGGGCCTCCCAGGCTGAAGGAACCTGCCTGCAGAGACACAGGGTGTGGGAGGACGGGGGCAGCCGCTAGGAGGGAGCTGAGCTCCTGGGACCTGGTGGGAAGAAGGGGAGGCAGTCCCAACCTTCAGGGGGTGGGGTGGGAAGAGACGCCCCATCCTAGAGCATTCTGAGGGACTTTGAGGACATAGAAAGGGGGTGGGCGTCTGGGGAGGGGCAGTGCTTAACAATATCTGCCCTAGAATTTGAGGTTTTAGTAGTGATGGAAAGGGAAGGGGGAGAGGGAGCACTTCTGTAGCTCAAAACTAGTTTGGAACTGTCCCAGGGTCAGAGGTTAGGGTCTGGCAGGAAGTAGGGGGATGAGATCTGGGAGGAAGGGGCCTGGGAGCCTGGTGCAGAAAGAGAACTAGCCTCTGACAGGGGCTCTTTCTGCTTGGGGGGAGAGGACAAGTTCCTGGTTTGTACCAGACCAGATGGCTCCTCCTAGGACTGGGTTCCATCAGGATGGAGGCCCCTTGGCTGACAGTGGCAGTCCCGGCCCCACAGCAGCTGGCCCCCTCTCCCTCTCTGCCCACAGCTGAGTGAAAAGTATGGGCCAGTGTTCACTGTGCACCTGGGCCCCTGGCGGAGAGTGGTGGTCCTGGTTGGGCATGAGGCTGTGCAGGAGGCCCTGGGAGGTCAAGCGGAGGAATTCAGCGGGCGGGGAACCCTGGCGACGCTGGACCAGGTTTTTGATGGTCATGGTGAGTCATGAGAGGAGTGGGGGGCTGCTGGGTCTTGCCCCCACTTACAGGTACGTGACCTTTTGCATGTAGCTTAGTGCCTCTGTTCCCTTCTCTGGGAAGTGGGACAAGAATTGTACCTATCACATAGGGTTGTCCCAAGGAGGAAAAGAAGATGGGGCCTTGTGCAGTTACTAATCACGGACCCAAGTGAAGCCCCAGGGTGGGAGAACTTTCAAGGCTCTGGAATTGATAGGCGAACACTCACAATACAAAAAATATAAGTATCCTCCGTGTTAAGACAGAAGGAGGCGACCCGTGCTTTGCTCAGCTGGTGACATAGCCCCTGTCCTGCTCCCCCAGAGCACCTAGGCTTAGTGAGGAGACAGAGCTGTCACCAGACACTGACAACTCAAAGGGGTTGGCCATGATGGGGAGGCCCAGACTGTCCTGGGGGAAGCCCTGGGACTATAGGAATCCAAAAAAGGGGACCTAACTCGGACTATGGGGTGGGGAACATCCAAAAAGTGGGCCTAGAAGAGAAGATGTCTGGGTTAGGACTCAGGATAAGAGGGAAGGGTGTTCCAGGCAGAAAGACCAGATTGTACAAAAGCACTGACAGCCCGTCATGCCTGCCCTGTATGGGACAGATGCAGCGTCCACTCAGTGTGAGAGAGGGGGCTTGGAATGAGACAACGGAGGAAGGAAATAGCCTTCTCAAATACTGAAGTGCAGCTTTCAGAGCTGGACACAGGACTGTGTACCGGGGGTGGGATGCGAGGGTTTAGGGACAGCTTCTCAGAGGTGGTGACATTTAAGCTGGAATGTAAGTGGAGTTAGTTCACCTAGAAGGGAGGTTCTGAGAGGCATATAGGCAGAGGGAGCAGCAGGTCCAAAGGCTGGTTGGCAGGGGCAGGAAGTGAGAGAAGCCTGGCCGTGAGTAATGAACTGAGAGGTCAGGAGACCCTGCTCGTGGAGGGCCTGAGTCACACCAGAGCCTTTCCTGGAAACCTTGAAGTATTTTAATTAATTAATTAGTTATTTAGTTAGTTTTGGTACTTGGAACTGAACCTAGAGGTGCTTTACCACTGAGCTACCTCCCAACCCTTTTTTATTTCTCATTTTGAGACAGCATCTTGCTGTGTTGCCCAGGCTGACCTTGACTTTGTGATCCAGGTTCACTGGTTACTGCAGAGGGACAGAACTGAAGGCTGGGAGCCCAGAGAGGACCCCAGCTGACCAGGGCAGGGCCCAGATGGATGGTGCACTGAGATGGGGAAGGAGAGATACTGACTCCAGTTTGGAACAGGGGTGGAGGGGACACAGGGAAGAACAGGGGACACCAGGAGGAGGTGTCCATCCAGGAGGCCACTACTGGCCAGCATTCAAGAGGTAGAAACACTAAACTCAGAGCAAGAGAAGATCTTCTAGAGCAGGTGTCTTGAATAAAGGAGGAAGAGAGCTGAGTCCCATCCTTCCTGTCTTCCCAACTGTGGGGCAGAGGATTCAGTGGTGCTCTGTATCTGCTAGGATGCACGGGTGGGAGGAAGAGGAAAGAAGGTGAACAGGTGGAAGGAAGGAATTTTTACTCACCCTGGTTAATCACAGAGCAAAAGGAGCCTGGATCATCCCAGTTGCGTGTGCATTTATTGAGCACCTACTGAGTCTTCATGCCTGAGGGAGGCTGGTATGGATTCAGGACAGGGATCTGGGGGCACCTCCCTGAGTCTAGACTTCCACACAGGAGTTTTCTTTGCCAACGGGGAGCGATGGAAGCAGCTCAGAAAGTTCACCATGCTGGCCTTGCGGGACCTGGGCATGGGGAAGCGAGAAGGCGAGGAGCTGATCCAGGAGGAGGTCCAGTGTCTGGTGGAGGCTTTCCGGGAAACAGAAGGTCAGAGCAAGGGCCTGGCTGAGTCGGGAGAGAGGGGGAAGCCTGGGGCTTTGAGGCTGGACTGGGGTCTCTGCTCACCTCCACTCTTTTCCATCTTGCTGCCCCATGAGGGTGTCACAAATCTCTTATGTCCCTGATGCTGTCACCTCCCTCTTTGGGGGCCTCCATCCCTCTTTTTTCCCTTTGCCACTGTTTCTTTCTGCCCGTCTTCCTCTATTTGTGTGTAATCCTCTCTGTCTCTCTATCCATTCACCTGTTTTTCTTTCTTTTTCTTTTTTTTTTATACTAGGGATTGAAGGGATTGACCACTGAGCTGCATCCCCAGTTCTTTTTTTTTTTTTTTTTTTTTGAGATGGGGTCTCATTAAGTTGCTGAGGGTCTCACTAAGTTCCCCAGCATCTTGTTAAATTGCTGAGACTGACCTCCAACTTGTGATCCTCCTGCCTCAGCCTCCCAAGTTACTGGAATGACGGGCACAGCCTATCTGTTTCTCTCTAGTTGGGCCTGCCCTCCGCTCTGTATTCAGGGGTCTGCCAAGTGCCATATTAGTTCCCTTGCCCTTCACACCCCCCAGGACGTCCATTTGATCCCTCCCTGCTGCTGGCCCAGGCCACTTCCAATGTCATCTGCTCCCTCACCTTTGGCCTCCGCTTCCCCTATAAGGACAAGGAGTTTCAGGCTATCATACAGGCCGCTGGTGATACTCTGCTGGGGATCAGCTCCCCATGGGGCCAGGTAAGTGTGTGGGATGCCTCTCCAGCCACCGTCCCCAAAGGTTCCTGCCAAGCCCTCTGAGAGCCAGCTGTTCTTCCACCCACAGACCTATGAGATGTTCTCCTGGCTCCTGCGACCCCTGCCAGGTCCCCACACACAGCTCCTCCATCACTTGGGCACCCTGGCCACCTTTGCAGCCCAGCAGGTGCAACGGCACCGGGGGAGCCTGGACAGCTCAGGACCTGCTCGTGATGTTGTGGATGCCTTCCTGCTCAAGATGGCGCAGGTGGGGACGAAGTGGGAGGGATGCATGAATCTGCCTTAAATGGAGTTGGTGGTCTGGCTGGCCCCCTGGGTCAACTGTGCCTGGGGATCTCGACTGGATCTGTGTGTCTCTCTGTGTGTCCCTGTGTATGTGTCCCTGCATGTGTGTGCACACCTCTTCTCCATCTTTCTGTCTGTTCGGCTCTCTGTCTGCCTCTGTGTGTTGTTCTCCCTGGCTCCCCTCACCCCCACCCTCAGAATGCCTTTAGTGCAGGTGTCTCTGTCCCTTTGTCACCTCTGTTCCTCCCTCAGCCTGTTTCAGGTCCTGTCCCCAGCAGTTCTTCACCCCCCCCCACACACACACTCCCCCCATTCACACTGGATGGGAGTTTTATGTGAATTACAATCACTGAATGATGAGTCCTTACAATTTAAAATTATAGCCAGGTGCCATGGCACACTCCTGTTATCCCAGGGGCCCAGGAGGCTGAAGCAGGAGGATCACAAATACAAGGCCAGCCTCAGCAACTTAGCGAGGCCCTAAGCAACTTAGTGAGAGCCTGTCTCTAAACAAATACAAAAAAGTGCTGGAGATCAGTCCTCACTTCTCCACTTTTCCCAAATGTTTATGTAAAATCCCTGACCGTTCTTTTAACTTGCTGTGCTGCACCCCAAACCTGACTCCTCTGGACTTCTATTTCCCACAGCCTGTGTTCTCTGAGCCCCTCTCCCTGGTTTCTCCCAGGAGGAACAAAAGCCAAACACGGAATTCACTGAGAAGAATTTGCTGATGACGGTCACTTATCTCTTGTTTGCTGGGACAATGACGATAGGTGCCACTGTCCGATACGCCCTCCTGCTCCTGCTGAAACATCCTCAGGTCCAAAGTAAGATCCTTTTCTACCAGCTAACCTCGGAACAGAAGTAAGCATTTAAGAGGGGAAATGTGCAGGCTGAGCCAGAGCGCGGACATAAAAATGAGCATTTTGGGCCCCTGAGCTATGAGAAATTGGGGGCTGCCAGTTGCAGTATGGAGCATGGTGACACACAAGGCAGGAGACTTCTGCAGGGTCTTGTCACCTTGGTAGTCCATTGTAAGCCTGGATTGTTGGCCGCAGAGAGCTATGAAAGAATTTTGAGCAGGGGAACGCAGGGTCTGTTTTGCATTTTAGAAAAACCTTTGTGCTCTGCCCGAAGAAGTAGATTATAAAGGGGGAGAGAGGATGCCAGGAACCCAAGGAGCAGGAGAGGGACCTGAACAGGGAGGACAGAGCTGGACCAGGCTGTGAAGAAGGAAGAGGAGGCAGAATCGATAGGTCTGGAGAACAAGAGAAGGAGATACGCAGAGACGGGTTCCAGTTTCTGGCTGGAGACAGGGCCCACCCTGAGCTGGGGACAGGAAGGATGATGAAGGAGCTGGTCTCAAGGAATACAGCAAAGCCAGTCTGGAATAAATTGAGTCTGCAGCCACCAAGGAGGAGGGATCCAGGAGACCACAAGATGTACAAGTCAGGGCTGTAGATTAAAAATGTGGGGTCATCAGAGCATGGGCCGGAGCTGAACTGCCACAGTGATAGAGGGGTGTGGGGGTAAGGGGCAGGGCTGGGAATGAGTGCCAAGGAATTCCAGCATTTCCGGATCAGGCAGCCGTGTTAAATGTAGTCAGCTCAGTGGCGTGGGGACTGACTTGGAAGAAGAGACTTGGGGCCTGGTGGCTTTGGTGAAATTTGCTGTGACATCAGGCAAGTGACTCGGGCTCCCAGTTTCCTCATCTGGGAAATGGAGATGGATAATGGTATCCTCTCTTAATGGGAAATGAAATGCTCAGCACAGAGGATGTGTGGGTCCTGGGCTCAGGGAAGTTGGGGGGCTGCTCCTCCCCACCATCCCTGCCAGCCTCACCCCAATTACCACAGCTTCCAAAAGGAAGATTACAGGGTTCCCCCCCACCCCTGACCCCTCACCCCTTCTCTTGCTTACAGAGCGTGTGCGGGAGGAACTGACACGGGAACTGGGAACTGGCCGGGCTCCAAGTCTGGGGGACCGTGCCCGCCTTCCTTACACAGATGCAGTTCTGCACGAGGCACAGCGGCTGCTGGCGCTGGTGCCCATGGGGATGCCCCACTCCCTCACGAGGACCACTTGCTTCCGAGGGTACATCCTGCCCCAGGTGGGTTTATGGACAGCCAAGGTCTAGTAGTTGTCTCTGCCCTTGGGGCTTGAGTCTGTTGCTAATGGTGTGTCTTTTTCTTGATCTTAATGTATGTCTGTCTGTCCATCAGTCCCTGCTGCAGACATACAGTGTCTCCCATTCAGTCCATTCAGTCTCTGCCCCTTTGTTGGAGAGAAATTCAGACCCAGAACCACTAGGGGGCAACGTATGCAAAACCCTGAAGCAGTTGCTGCTTGGTGTAGAATCAAATCCGCGGCTGTTAGAAATCAGCCACTGGGACCTTGGAAAAATCTCTTCCTCCTCTGTCCTTCAATATACCCCTCTTCTAAATTTAGAACTCTAACAGTATCAATTTAGAGTCCTAATATAATGCTAATAAACATCAAAGCAGCTCTTGGTGGTAGGGATGGGGGGATTTTATATATGACAGCAATAATATAATGATAACAAGAATCATAGGTTTCAGCACTTGAGGATCTGCTGGGTCAGGTATTGTGAGTACTTTACATATGTATTATTTTCTTTCTTTTTTTTCTTGCTGTACTAGAGACTGAACCCAGGTACACTTTATCACTGAGCTATATTCCCAGCCCTCTTTATTTATTTATTTATTTATGAGAGAATTTTTTTTTTTAATATTTATTTTTTAGTTTTCGGCAGACACAGCATCTTTGTTTGTATGTGGTGCTGAGGATCGAATGCGGGCCACGTGCATGCCAGGCGAGCACACTACCACTTGAGCCACAACCCCAGCCCTTTATTTTTATTTTGAGACAAGATCTCACTCAGTTGAGAGGCAGGCCTGGAACTTGATATCCTCCTGCTTTAGCCTTCTGAGTCACTGGGATTATAGATGTGTGCCCCAGAACCTGGCTTTATGTCTTACTTTATCTCCAAAACAACTGTATACAATTATCATGCCCAATTCACAGACGAAGAAACTGAGAGCTTGCAAGGTTAGAAGGCTTGCCAAGGTCACCCAGCTTGCAATCAGGGAAGCAGGATTTGAAACTAGAATCTATGCTTTAACTATTTCTATTTGTGCCTGCCCTCCCCCGCCTCCCTTTCTCTTATACTCACGTGAACTGGTTGGTGTTCAGTGCTTTTTTGTTATTTTAACAGCAATAACATGGCCTTTTCCTGGAACCTCTCACCTTCCCAACTCGGTGCCCATTAGCTAGACTCCCTGACAGAGAAAGTGTCCCCCCTGCCAGGCACAGTGGTGCACATCTATAATCCCAGCAACTCAGGAGGCTGAGGCAGGAGGATCACAAGTTCAAGGCCAACCTTGGCAACTTAGAGAGATGCTGTCTCAAAATTAAAAATAAGAAGGGCTGGTATGTAGCTCAGTGTTAAAGCACCCTGGGTTCCATCCCCAGGGCCCAAGGAGGAAAATTAAGAAAGTTTCATCCCTCTCCTCATACTCCCTTCCTTGCCTTCATCCTCCACTGCACAACCCTGGGAACTCACCTGAGAGGCTGCCACTCTCTCTGAACCTGGGCAGGGGGAGACTTCATGGACAGCCCTGCCGCTTGTCTTCATCTCTGTAAGATGGTGGCTTAGACAGGCACAGCTGAATCACAGCACACTCCCAAAGATTCAAAACAAAGGAAAAATAATGAGCTCTGCCAAGCTCTCTAAATGGTTACCTTGAGCAACTGCTTAAGTTCTCTGGGCCTGAATTTCCCCATCTTAAAACAGGAATGATATTCCTACCTGCCTCCTAGGATTGTTCAAAGATTTTGTATGTATATGCATGTGAGTACATGTGAGTACATGTTCCTGTTAGATATGTGAGGTAGCATGTGTGAGTGCCATTAATGCTAATGTTGGGTGTTTTGGGTTTTAGTTTGGGTACTGGGGATTAAATCCAGGGGCACTTTACCACTGAGCCATATCCCCAGTCCTTTTTATTTTTTATTTTGGGATAGGGTCTCACTAAGTTGCTTAGGGCCTTGATAAATTTCTGAGGCTGGCCTTGAACTTATGATCCTCCTGCCTCATCCTCCTGAGTCACTGGAACTACTAGCATGCCCCGCCACACCCAGCCATCCCCTGTCCTTTTAATTTTTGTTTTGTTTTGTTTTGTTTTGAGACAGGTCTCACTAAGTTGCTGAGGGTCTGGCTAAGTTTCCCAGGCTGGACTTGAACTTGAGTCACCCTTGCCTCAGCCTCCCCACTTGCTGGCATTACAGGCATGCACCACACCCAGCAGTTGGCATACTTTGTGAACTACTTTGTGAACCGTGTCCCCAGCTGTCCAGACTTGTATTCTGCACTGGGGAACTGGGTGGCCTGGGATAGTGAGGGACTTGCAGTTTTATTATTTCCCCTCAGGGCACTGAGATCTTCCCTGTCCTTGGTTCCGTCCTGCATGACCCCAAAGTCTTTGAGCGGCCAGAGGAGTTCAACCCAGACCGTTTTCTGGATGAGAATGGACAGTTCAAGAAGCATGAGGCGTTCCTGCCCTTCTCCTTAGGTATCTGCTGCTATGACCACTGGCCCTGGCTGGCACGGCTGTCAGTGCCTGGTAGGGCAGCCCTGCATCCCCAGCTCATCCTCGGCTCCCCCTAGGAGCCCGGGTATGAACAGAGTTGTCTGAGCCCCCTCTCCTCTTCTTGCCAGGTAAGCGCGTCTGCCTCGGCGAGGGCTTGGCGCGAGCGGAGCTCTTCCTTTTCTTCGCTGCCATCCTACAGGCCTTCTCTCTGGAGAGCCCAGGCCCCCTGAGCACCCTGAGCCTCCAGCCAGCTGTCAGTGGCCTCTTCAACATCCCACCCGCCTTCCAGCTGCAGGTCCACCCTGCTGAAGAAGGAGGGAGCTTGGGGCGGAGGTAGCCACTTGGAAAGAGGCTGCCAGCCTCGGTGGCATGCGTGGACAGGGTGTATCTCCAGAGCCACGAGCCTGCACTGAAGGGGCTCCCACCTACCCACACATATGTTTTCTGGAATTTTCACAGACAAGTGGCCTGTGCTGCTGCCGAGGCATCAGCCACATGCCCATACTCACCCACGAGGGCCACCACTGCTATCTGCAGAAATGCAAGCACTTGTCCAGCTAACCCAGCAGCCCATGCCAACCCACGGTTCCCTGGGCTCTCAACCTGCATGTGGGAGTCCAGCCACCATGCTCACAGCTCTCACACACCCGTGCCACCATCTCTGGGTGCCTGCCACAGAGAGCAAAATGCACCTCCTGGGTCATGCCACAGTCAGGGTGTCCCGTCAGCCCCAGTATGCTCCATTGGGTGACCTCACTGCCCTCCAAGCTCATAAGCACCCCTGTCCACACACGCCAACCACTGATCCATTCAGCCAGCCCTCGCATGACACCTTCCTGGCTCCCACTGAGACATGCTGCTCTTACAGAGGCACAGTCCCCAGTCAGCTCCATACCTTTGTCCCTCAGGGACACCCTTTTAGGAGTACCCCTTTCAGTAAATTTTCTCCAATACAAATATTTTCTGATCTGCAATTAGGCACACAGACTTTGGACACCAGAGGACTCTCACCTGCTCCCACCACACACGCACGCACGCACAGCCCCTATTCTGTGGTCAAAGTCCCCATTAGGCCCTGGAAAGGGGCTAGATGTCCAAGCAGGGTCCAGGTCCCAACCCCCAGTGCCAGGAAGGAGGCCAGACCTGACCTCTTTGTGGCTTGAAGGTCTCCATTTTGCAATAAAAGTTTGTCTCTGGCCCCTGGTCTGGCCCAGGGCAGGGCCTACTGTGCCTGTGTGACTGTGTCTGTCCTAGTGAGTAAGGGGTGGAGATGGGGGAGTTCACCCCTCCCCTGAGGTTGGGCGGGAGCTGAAAAACATGGTCACCGCCCACCCTGGCTGTTGACATCAGGACCAGATGTGGGGCTGAGAGGGGAGGGAAGGGGAGGGACAGGGCTGGGGCTGATGGCCGGTTGCTCAGCCAGGGAAAGCCCAAAGCTGATGGATTCAAACCCTGAGAAGTGTCTGAAAACAGATGTACGCAGGCATCAACGCCCAAACCCTCCCCCACTGTCCTTGCCGTCCCTTCACAAGGAAACCAAAGGCATCTTTTTCCTTCTTAAATTATCTAAGGAAAGTTTTCCGCATGCAGGAGGCCCTGGGTTTGATTCCCAGCAACCAAAACAAGTTTTGTAATAAAATAGAAGAGAACCGTTAGTTTTCGGCAGACACAACATCTTTGTTTCTATGTGGTGCTGAGGATCAAACCCGGGCCGCGTGCATGCCAGGCGAGCGCGCTACCGCGCTTGAGCCACATCCCCAGCCCCTCATCTGTCACTCTTGAGTTATTTTAAGACAAATCCCAGAAAAAACTGAACATGCATGCCTAAGCATTAAGGACATTCCCTCTCTCAGCATTTTAGTTTTTTAATTAATTTTTATTTATTATTATTTTTGCATCCCTGGGTGGGTACAAATCCTCCAACATTTTATTATGACAGTTTTTTTATCCACTTTTTTTTTGTTCAGTGCTAGGGATTGAACCCAGGGCCTTTCACATACCAGGCAAGGATTTTACCACTGAACTAAGTCCCCAACCCCTGTGACAGTTTTTTAAACATGCAGCATAAGTGGAAGGAGTTGAGCATCTGCTGTGTCCAGGGTTCTCCCCCAGGCCTTTTGTTAGATTGTGACTTTTTTTTTTTTTTTACCTACCTGAGCATGGAGCTCAGGGAAATATCTCCAAGTACGTTACAGGCATCCGTTCATCTAAAAACTTAAAAGTCTATATTGTTAGTTAATATTTCCTTTTTAAAAAGCATTTTCCATGATATTATCACTTTTTAAATTATTGGATTTAACAGTACCATTCTTAATACTTTGACATTCCAAAAGGAATGAAGTTTAAAATTTTTCCTTTAAAAAAAAATTACGGTGATGACTTAGATCTCATTTGCACTCAAAAGTCAGATTCAGGGAAATTTGGAATTGGATAAAAATACCCGAAAATCATGGGGCTGGGGTTGTGGCTCAGTGGTAGAGTGCTCCCCTAGTATGTATGAGGCCCTGGGTTCGATCCTCAGCACCACATAAAAAATATATATACACAAAATAATGGTATTGTGTCCATCTACAACTAAAAAAATCAGAAAATCAATTTATTTAGAGGCACAGACCTTGCCCTGTATCAATATAAAAACTGACATCAGAGACTGGGCATAGATCAGGCCCAGACCCTGAGTTTCATCCACAGCACTGGGCGGGGGGTGGGGGACAAGAAAGCAAGCTGAGGATGATTTTAGTATCAAGAAAAAATATGCTTCAATACTAGGAATTATCGAACCCCAAAGTAAAAATAATTAGTATAGTCTTCAAATATATTTGTATGTGTGGCAAAATATAGATAACATTTTAACCTAAAGTACATGATTTAGTGCATTAAGTACGTTCACTATGTGTGAATAGCCATCCCCACTACACCTAAACCTTACGTCATCTCCAACAAAAACTACCTACTCAGTAACTCCCTCTTTGAAGTTTACCCTTTCGTTTTTCTTTTTTGGAGCTCTGGGTAGATGCTGGTTCATGTTCCATCACTGAGCTATATTCCCAGTCTTATTTACTTATTTAGGTACTGGGGATTGAATCCAGGGGTTCTCCACAACTGAGCTACATTCCCAACCATTTATTTATTTGTTTGTTTGTTTATTTAGGAGACAGGGTATCACTAAATCGCTGAGACTTGTCTTGAACTTGTGATCCTCCTTCCTCAGCCTCCTGAGTGCTAGGATTACAGACATGTTCCACCATGCTCACCTAGAGGGATCTTTTAATCAGATCCAGGGCTGGGGCTGTAGCTTAGTGGTAGAGTACTTGCTTCCATCCCTCACAAGGCCCTGCGTTTGATTTATTATTTTAAAAAAAATAATAATAAATAAATAAACAAAATGAGATCAGCTCCTGTCTCTCCCTTTCAAGTCCCACCAGGGGTTCCCACCATAGAATAAAGACCAGAGGCCTTCCCAGCCTTCCCAGGGGTTAACTTGGAACCCTCCCTGATCCATCCTCCCCCTGCTCCGGCCTCCATTCATTCCAGTCAGAAGGGCCTCCCCAGAGTTCATTGAGTCTGTCTCAGGCCGACCTGGAGGCCTTTGCACGGGCTGCTCCCTCTGCCTGGAATGCTCTTCTCTACGTGTTCATTCACTGATTTCCCTCAGACTCAATCACTACCTCTGAAGCCTTCCGCAGCCCTTTCTCTGAAATAGCACTTCCACTCTTTGCTGTCCCCTCCCCTGCCTTATTTCTCCTCAAGGTCCCATCCTGCATCCTAATACGTATTTTTGTGCCTGTTGTTTCTCCTCTCCTTACAACAGGAGTTCAATGAGGACATGGCCCTGTCCTGCTCACTGTGGAAGCACCAGTCCCCAACACAAAGGGCACTTCTATACCTGTCCTTCTCATTAAATAATAATTTTTTAAAAAGTGCATTTCTACCGGGCATCATGGCACACACCTGGAATCCCAGCGATGCTGGAGGATCACAAGTTCAAGGCCAGCCTTGACAGCTTAGTGAGACCTTGTCTTAAAAATAAATAAATAAAAAATAAAAAGGGCTGGGGATATAGCTCAGTGGTAGAGTGCCTCTGCATTTAATCCCCAGTACCAAAAAGAAAAGTATTTGAAGGTAAATTGTACTACACACATAGTAGGTTCTAGCAATCGGAACTCGAGTTAAGTGTGCTCACGGGCTCCAGGTAGCCACACTTCCAGCTGGCTCCACAGAGCCTTAGGTGGGCAGAAATCCCTAATATATCTAAACAAGGGGGCAGAACTTTGCACATATTTCCATCCCCCCAAAAGTCAGAATTATTGTCACCTATATGTCAAGGCTTTGTAAAGGATAGTGGAGTACAGTAGTAACTTAGATGTATAGTCAGCTACACCCTCCCGGACCCCACAGGCCAGCCAAGAAGACAGACAAAATTGTGCCAAATAAATCTATAATGACAACCCATGCAAAGTTTTGCACCACCCCTTCCCCCAAAGAAAGAAAAAGGACAGGATGTTGGGAGTGAACAACATGAGGGCCTAGGTCATACTGGGAGGGGCCGGGTAGTGATACAGTGGAGAGGGGACCCTAAGGATATGGATGAGGGGTATGTAGGAGTTGGGGACAGAAAGCTGAGCTGCAAAAAGATGCTCCAAGACCTGTAAGAAGGTTCTTTGGGTCAGAAAGTGAAAGACACCAAAGGAGAGGGAGGGTCAGGACTCTGAGGGGGTCCTCATGGGCCTCTGTAGGGGGTTTGTCTAAAAAGGTTGGGGGCAAGGCAGGGAGAAGGTTAGATTTGGGATTGGGAAACATTCTTCTGACTGCTGAATGGGAGAAGGAGTAGAGGCTGGTGGCCCAGGCTGGAGGCCAGGGCTGTGTCCAGGTGGGAGACACTGGGGCTGGACCAGGGTGGGGTTATAGGGAGAAACGAGGGCAGGTGGCAAAGAGGTCTGTGAGCTGAGTCTCCATGGATATCAGTAACTGGCTGTGCCCAGGAGGACCCCAAGGCTCAGGCCTGGGTGGCAGGATGAATGCTGGGGCCATCACCAAGGTGGGATACAAATGAGACAGCCCAAGGAGACTAATGGGGAAGGGTCCTGAGTGGCCTGCTGAGGAGCTACGTGCTCACCCCAAGGGCAGAGGGGAGTCACAGTTAAGAAGGGGAAAACAGGTCTAATTTGGGTCTCAGAAACATCCCTCTGGTTGCTAAAGAGGAGATGGATTGGAGGGAGAAAGAGGAGAGGAGGGGGCCTAGAGAAGGGGACAGAGAAAAACACCAGGAGGCCAAATAGACAGGACTTAATGATGAGCTGTTGGGATACGGAGACCCAAACAGAAATGGCCAAGGGCAGAGAGTCGGGCACCCAGCCACCTCGTACATAAGACTCCCAGGCACGCAGAGCCCCCTGTGCCCAACACACAGGGATGCAGAAATGGCCATGCAGGGGCAGCCAATACGCAGGTCCCGGATCTGCAAGGACCTGGATGCACAATGAGGCCAGAGGGAGGGAGCAGCGCAAGTGCAGAGACAGAGAAGTCCAAACCGCTGGGCACCTTGTCAGCTGTCATTGCCACGTGCAAGAAACTGCACGCACTTTGACCCAGATCACCCTCCAACTAGCCTGCTCCCTGGACCCTATTCTTAATCCCATCTTACAGAGGGACACGCTGAGGGACGGAGGCCAGTCACTTGCCCACAGTCACATCATTAGTGGGAGAGCTGGACTTGGGTCTGGGGGTGCTCCCATGAACGCACACACACTGGTGTCCAGCTTCTGTGTGTCAGCATCAGTGTCCCCTGGGATGCCCACCCAGCAGTGAACTTCCCTCTCTGAGCTTTCCCTAGGAGGCAGCTCCCGACCTGACTTGCCTGAAGGTGTCCATGGGCAGGCAGGGCAGCGTGCCCCTGCGTGCCTCTGCCTGCACCAGGCTCTGTGTCAATGCCATCTGAGTGTGTGTGTGTGTGCGTGTGTGTGTGTGTGTGTGTGTGTGTGTCCTTGTCCAAGGAGCCCTGAGTGTGAGGGGGGAATGAAGGGCCAAGGAGGCCTGGCTAGGGCCGGGCCCGGGGTGGAGGCAGGGGGCCGTCGTGGGCTGAGAGGGGAGTGGAGTTCTGGAAGAATGTTTACCAGACCCAGAGAGCCCAGGGGACAGCGCCCAGAACCCAGCACAGAGGCGCAGCCTCCTGCCTTCTGGGCCCAGGAGAGGGGCGCCGTCACCAGGGTCCCCGTCCCCCTTCCCCGCCTCCCTCCAAGGCCCCTTTAAGACCGGGCTGGTCCCCTGCTCTCGGGGTTAACCCCTTTCTGCCCAGGTGGCCCCCCGGGCTCCCGCCGGGGGCGGAGGCAGAGGGGGAGCCGGGGGCGGGGAAAGGGTTGTCCGAAGTCTGGGAGGAGAGGAGGCCGGGGACCGGGGACCGAGAAGGCGGCTGCCGAGGAGCGAAGCCGGCAGAGGGGCCCCGCTGGGCCAGGCGGGCAGTGCCAAAGCCGGGGAGCCCAGGGCTGGGGGGGAGGGCCGGGGACAGCCCGGCCCTGCCCCCTCCCCTGCAGGGCGCCCAGCAACTTCGGAGGAAAGTTTGGCCTCGGTGGCGCGGTGGGGCCGGAGGATGGGCAGGGCGCTGGCCTGGTGCTTGGTGCTGTGCTGCTGGGGGTGCGCGACCCCCGAGGGTGAGTGATGGGGGCCCTCGGGCCGGGCCACCCACCCAGGGACAAGGGAAGTGGAGAGAGGAGGCGGGGGATGGATGGCAGGTGGCGGGGTGCTGGGCTGGCTTAGGGAGTTTCCTTGGGACAACGGAGAGCGGACTCGGAGAGCGGAGAGGGGGAAACAGACTGGGAACTATCAAGACCGCAGGGAAGAGACGAGGCAGAGAGGAACAGAAGGACAAGAAACAGAAACTGGGAGGGCCCAGGCGGGAGAAATGGAGGAGCCGGACAGGGGAGTTTGAGGGAGGGAGCCCAAGGCAGAGGGGCTGAGCTGGGGGCTCAGGGAGGGCAGGCTGGGATCCCCACAGAGAAGCCCCAGGAGTGGCGGAATCCTGAGAGTCCCCTTTCCACTCTCAACCTCCCCACACCTGTCCCGGCTCCACTGAGGTCTGCTCCTCTCTGGGGAGCTTCTGCCTCCAGTTGTCACCCCTGTGGGGGGCTCCATTTCTCTCTCTCTCTCTCTCTCTGTTTTCATTTCCCTGTCTTTCTCTTTCTTTCCTTGTAACCCAGGGGAACTTTATTACTGAGCTACATCCCCATCCGTTTTTATTTTTCATTTTGAGAGAGGGTCTTGCCAAATTCCCCCATAAATTGTGGAGGCTGGCCTTGAACTTGTGATCCTCCTGCCTCAGCCTCCCAAGTTACTGGGATTACAGGTGTGAGCCACGATGCCTAGCTTCTCCATGTTCTCTAAGTCAGTGTCTGTCTTACCTGTCTGTCTGTCTGTCTCTCTCTCTCTCTCTTCTCAGTCTCTCTCTGTGACTCTCCCCTCTTTTCCCCTCTTGAGGGGTATTTCTTCATTTCTGTCTCTGTCTTTCCATCTCTCTCTTTCTCTCTCCCATCTCTCTTCCTGGCCCCTTTTCTTCCCCTGTATCCACCAGCCTGATCTGTGAAGTCTCTAGAGACCCTTGGGGCAGGCACTGGCCCCTGCCAGGCAACCCAGGGCGTGGGAGGCTGCCAGATCCCGGGGCCTCCTTCCCAACGGAGGGATGGAGGCTGGACCTCAGTCCCCTGGGAAAACTCCCATCCTCCCCCAAGCCTAGGCCCTCCACCCCCTTCTGAGGTCACTCTACAACTATGTGGGCCTAAAGGCCTGGCGGGGTCCTGGCAGCCAGTGGGCAGGCAGAGACAGGGTGAAACTGTGGAGCTGGAGGGAATTAGGGGTTCCTAAACTCCTAAATTCCCATTTCCCCATAGGAGCAAAGGCTGAGGCTGATAATCCCTTTGTGGGGAGTCCAGGGAACATCACTGGTGCCCGAGGAATGGTGGGGACCCTTCGGTGTGAGCTCCAGGTTCAGGGGGAGCCCCCGGAGGTGACCTGGCTTCAGAATGGACAGATCCTAGAGCTGGCAGACAGCACCCAAACCCAGGTGCCCCTGGGCGAAGACTGGGACGATGAATGGAAAGTGGTCAGCCAACTCAGGTGTGCAGTCACCCCTCCCCCTACAAGCCTCTCCCCACCTCCGTCTACACCCCCCTCCATCAAGCAGAGGACGAAGAGGCCCTTCCTGGGCTGGAATCCCAGCTTGACCACTTGCAGGCTGTGTGGCTTGAACTGCTGACTTGACCTCGGGGTTTCACTTTCTTCTTCTGTAAAATGAATTAAAAATAGTGTCTACTTCATCCTCCCTGTGAGTTTTCGGTCCAGGCCCCTCTCCCAGTTCTGGTGACCTTTGCCAATGTTCAACTCTGACCCCCACCTCTCCATCCCTCCTCTTCTGCCAGAATCGCATCCCTGCAGCTTACAGATGCTGGACAGTACCAGTGTGCAGTGGCTCTGGGCGGACAGACCTTCATGTCCCAGCCTGGCTACATAGGGCTGGAAGGTGAGTCCTTGGGTCATAGGTTCTGAGGGATCAGAGGGTGCTGGGGGACTCAAGGCCCCTGGGGACATACAGCCTAGGAATGTCAGAGATCTTCAGAGGTCAGGAAACTGTGAGTCCACAATTATGGGGGAGCAGGTTTGAGGGACTATGATTATATGATCTTGGGGAGAAGACATCTTAGGAGTTGTTGGGTGTCCTGAGGGGCAGACATGCTTGGAGTAGGACATTCTGGGGTTAGGTAAGGAGTCAGAGGCAGGTGACTTAACTGTCTTTCCCATCTCCAGGGACCTCAGTTCCCCCATCAGTAAGATGAGATGAGGAGTCACACATTGTGGGAAAGAGAATCAGATATGCACCAACTATGTGTGTTGGTGCAAGCCTGTAATCCCAGCTACTCAGGAGACTGAGGCAGGAGGATTGCAATTTTGAGGCCAGCCTCAGCAGCCTAGCAAGATCCTGTCTCAGAAAATTTAAAAAAGGGCTGGGGATGTAGCCCAGAGTTAGACCACCCCTGGGTTCAATCCCCAGTGCATGCGCACACACATGTACACACAAAGGAAGGGAGGGAGGGAGGGAAAAGAAACATGAGGGGCTCAGGTATGTTGGGGGTCAGGCATAAGGGGAATCAGGTATTGGGCTTATGTATCCTGGGTCAGTCATCTAAAGGAGGCTCAGGTGTCCCGAGGATTCAGACATGGGGGTTGGCAAGAGACCCTGCAAGGTGAGTCTGATGTCCAAAGCCTCACTCACCATCTTAGAAGTGGCTCAGACACCTGGGAGGTTCAGAGGGATCCACTGCCCTCCCCACAGGCCTGCCTTACTTCCTGGAAGAGCCGGAAGACAGGATTGTGACAGCTAACACCCCCTTCAACTTGAGCTGCTGGGCCCAGGGACCCCCAGAACCTGTGAATCTACTTTGGCTCCAGGATGCTGTCCCCCTGAGCCTGGACATGGCCCACAGCCCCCAGCACAACCTGCATGTCCCAGGTGAGTGTGGGAACAGGGGCCAGGTCAGTGGAGAAGCCGGGCGAGGTGGAGGTGGGGGCAAGACAGCCCTTCACATTCGGCCTCTGTGTATCTGCCCCCACTGTCCCCCATCTCGGTGTTCTGCCTCTGTCTCCTTGTCTCTCTCTTGTGCCTCCCTCTGCCTCTTTCTGTGCCTTCTCCAGCTCCCTGCTTCTCTGTGCCTATCTCACTGTTTCTCTGAGCACATGTCTTTCTGTCTGTCTCTCTGCCTCTCCCTCTGTTCACCCCTGCCTCTCTCTGAATAGCATTCTTTGTCCTGGGTTTCCTCTGAGCTGTTCTGTGGTCCAAGTGTGTGGGTCTGGTGCCCCTTTGTCAGCCCTTGACCCAAGCAGGCCACCGGAACCAATGTCCCCTCCTGTCTTGCACCCCCCCACACACAACCTGTCCACCTCCAGCCCTGAAGAGCCCTGATGACCTTGGTCAAGGGGAAGAGATCTTTTTGAAGAAGAAGGAAGGGGAAATGGGAGATAGAGAAAGTTAATTACAAAGAGACGGAATGAGAGATGCAAGGAGAGAGAAGAGTTCACAGAGATGAGCCAAGATGGAGAAAGTCAGGACAAGTGGTGGAAAGCCCTCCTTCTGGGTGTCCCTCTCCTGCATCACACAGAAGGGGCACCTTGCTGGGGGTCACATGGCAGTCAGAGGCAGAACTGGGGGAACTTGGATATGGGCTTCCCCCTTATGGAGGGAGGAGAGACAGGCACACAGATGGGTCAGCTCAGTCAGGGGAGGCACTTCCCTAGGCCAACCTGCTGCTTCCCTCTGTGGGGTGAGGAGTGGTCTCTGGGGTGAAGGAGGTGTCACATTCTCAGCATTCCTGAGGCCCTGAGTGTGCAAGGAAGCTGTGGTGACCATGCTGGCCCCCCAGAGAGGTGACTCGGCCCATGGCTCAAGTGGCGGGTAGGGGCCTGAGTCAGCCTGGCAGGACCTGGGAGAGGCTTAGGGAGACAGAGAGAGGGAGGGAGAGAGGGAGGGAGGAGAGGTATGAGAGGGTCTTGTGTGTATCAGTGTGCAGCTATGAGGACAGACACCTACACTGAGTGGTGTGTCCATCCCTCTTTGTGTTTCTGTGTTCACAGCTGTTGAGACTGTGTGCATGGAGTGCGGGGAGGGCTGTAAGTGTGTTTTGTGGCTTTTGTGCACACTCTCTGTGTGGATGTGATAGTGTCTGCTCACAGGTGTGCATCTATAGGCGTGAGTGCGTCCTGGTGTGGGCTTCTGTCCCCCTGTGGAATCAGGATGTGTTGGGGGATAGGTTGGTGTGTTTCCTATTGGCTGTTATAGATGCAGGTCCATGGATGTCTCTGTATGTCAGAGGGTAAGTGGGCTGTCATGAGTCTGTCACCACTAAGTCCTAGGTCTGAGATCTACTTCCATCTGGTCTCCCTGCATGTATTGATTGGCCCAGCTGCCTCTTGGGGGCTGAATCCAGGGTACCCTCCAGCCAGTGTGCATCTGCACACCTGTGCCAACCGTGTGTCCGCCGCAGTGTCTCCCTCCTTGCGCATCTATGACAGGCCTTTGTGTCTGCACAACTCTTTTTCGTAACACCCTTCATCTCCATGGATGTGAAGCAACCTGAATGTGTCTGGCTATTTTGGCACAGATGAAGGTGTGGCTGTGGGGCTGGAGGTGGGGGCAGGTCAATCTCTCCCTCTCCAGCCTCAGTGTGCTTGTTGTCTGGAGTGTGTATCTCAATACGCAGGGAGGTTGGTGTTCCAAAGCGCCGAACCCCACATATATTCTGTTGTTAGATGTTTGTGATTAATGTGTGCACATGTGCTTGTGTGTTTATGTTTGTCCTAACGTTGACTCATTTGTGTATGTGCGTCAGTATCAGCCCCTGTGTGTTTATGAGTAAGTCACTGTGCGTTTGTGTCACTGAGTGTTTGGGACAAGCATCAGCCCTGGGAATCCGAGTAGCTTAGCCAATGTTGAGTTTTTTGTGTATGCCTAAGCACTAAAAACGGCCCCTGTGTGTTAGGCGTGATTCATTGTGTGTGGGGGGGAGGTGCCTTGTCTAGGAATTTTGTCAGTTTGTCCCTACTCAGGGTGTGTCCTCTTTCTCCTTCCATCCTTCTCCTTCCCTCGGAAAAGGATTGGAGGGGGGGAGCAAAGAGGGAGGCAGTACATCTGGAAAGCACATCTGGAGTAGGAAAGAGCCTGCTGGTGGGGAGGGGCGTCCCAGACCCCTTGGTCCCTCCTGTCTCCCTCCCTCAAGGTGCAGCCACTGGGGCCTGGAAAGAGGGGGTCCCAGGCCAGGCCCCCAGGCCAGCCGGAAGTGCCGGGGTGGGGGGGCGCCCCGGTGACTCACGCGGGGGCAGGAATGCTGCGGTCGGAACTGGACCCGGCTCCAGAACCCCCGTCGCCCGGAGCTGCTCATCCACCCGCCAGCTCCCGCGCCCTGACTCTGGCGGCCCCCACGTGCCAGGTGGCTGGAGCCGACCCAGCTCCCCGGCCCGGCCGCTGGGCTGTCTTGTTCCTCTCGATGGCGGGGGCGGCGGGGGCTGCGGGGGCCGGGGCACCTGACCTTGGCCGGGACGGCAACTGGGCAGCCGCCGCGGGGCGCTTCCCTGCCCACCCCCTTCCGGCCTCTGTGACTTTCCCCTAATCCACTCCCTCTGCTGACGGAAAAAAGGAAACTTTGTGTCTGGGGACAGAGGCCGCCCTCCAGAGCGGACCCGAGGGTGGGAACTGGTGGGAACGGACGCACGCACGCAGCCGCCCGGAGCTCAGCAGGACAGCTGTCCCCAGAGCCGCTGAGCCACGCACACACCCACGCAGACAGCACACCGAAGAGCAGGCTGGAAACTTGGTCCTCTGCACATCCTGCCCCCCACCCCCGACATTGTGCATCTGTGTGTGTTGTATAGCTGCGCACTGGGTATCCATGTGTTTGTGTGTCTTTATGTGTGCACATGTTTATGGGTAACAGTGACAGGTATGTGTGCCTGTGCACACAAAGGTGCCTACAAGTGTAGAGACATTGAACAGTTGTTCAAGACACGTTAACTTCCTAACCCACAGAATTATGCGGTACTTGTCCACATACATACTCAGAAATGCTCATGTGTTCACTGTTGTACACACAAATTCATTCACTCAACAAACATTTATGGAGCACCTATTGTGTGCTGGCCACCCTGACAGCAGGGAACAAAACAACACAACTAGCCAGGCACCATGGTGCATGCCTGTAACTCCAGTGGCTCAGGAGGCTGAGGCAGGAGGATCACAAGTTCAAAGCCAGCCTCAGCAGCATAGCAAGACCCTGACTCAAAATAAAAAGGGCTGGGGATGCGGTTCAGTGGTTAAGCACCTTTGAGTACCTCAATTCCTGGTACCAAAAAAAAAAAAAAAAACCCAAAACCCACACACAACCTGCCTCCCTGGAGCTGACATTCTCGCAGGGGAGACCCACAATGAGCAGGACACTTGGCAACATGCAAAGCCATGGAGCAGAATAACAGGTATCATTTCAGAATCAAATGAAGGAAGGAGGGAGGGGGGCATATGGACCTGTGGGAAGACTGTTTCAAGTGAGTACCGTTTCCAGGGCAGGAACACGCTTCCCAGGTGTGTATTCCAGAAACACCAGAGGCCAGTGATCAGACTGAGCAAGGAGAAGGGGGTGGACAGGAGGCCCACTTACCAATGAACAAACACTTGTCTGTGTGCACACAGCCACATCCTAAGCATGTGTCTGTCTTGTGTATATACCTCCACGTCCGTCTAAATCAGTTTGTGTATGTATATGAGTGTGTGTATTTGTGTCTGTGTGTGCCTGCCTGTGTGTGTGTTTCTGTGTGTCTGGTTGTCATTGTTTTTGCAGTATTGGGATTGAACTCGGGGCGTTTTACCACTGAACTACACCCCCAGGCTTTTTATTTTTTATTTTGAGACAGGGTCTTTCTAAATTGCTGAGGGCCTCCCTAAGTTGCTGAGGCTGGCCTCAAACTTGCGATCCTCCTGCCTCAGGCTCCTGAGTCACTGGCATTACAGGCATGTGGCACCATGCCCAGCTGTTTTTGTGTGTTTGAATGTGTCGTGGGAGTATGGATGAGGAGGCGTCCTTCTGTGTGTACCTCTGTGTGCGTCTTAGTATGTATGTTCCTATCTGGGTGTGACAGAGCAAGTGTGTGAGCCATGTGAATCCCTGGGGTGGGGGGCTGAAGCCCACAGCCTGTCCCTGTGTTTGTGGGTGGAGTCTGTGTTCCTAATGCGTAGCTCTGCCCTCCCCACACTCCCTCTGCTTGCAAATGCCCGTCAGGTTGGCACTGGCCAGGCTGGGTGAGGTAGGGTGGCTTGGCATGGTCGAGTCTCTCTTCCCAGATCTGACACTGGGCTCCTCTCCCATGTGATTCCCTAGGCCTGAACAAGACATCTTCTTTCTCCTGTGAAGCCCATAATGCCAAGGGGGTCACCACATCCCGCACAGCCACCATCACAGGTGACAGAAAAGGGACCTGGGGAGCTGGGTGTCTGAGGGAGGGGTTGAGGCCAGGAGTCCGAGCAGGAGGCAGAGGGCAGCGTTGGCAGCTTTGGGTAAAGATCCCCAGGGTCAGTCTCTCCCCTTGTCTGTCCACAGTGCTTCCCCAGCGGCCCCGTGACCTCCACCTGATTTCCTGCCAACCCACAGAGCTGGAAGTGGCTTGGACCCCAGGCCTGAGTGGCATCTACCCTCTCACTCATTGCACCCTACAGGTGAGATTCCCTGAGCTTGGTCACCTCAATCTCAGGCCTCTTTCTACCCAGTATTTTCCTCCCCTAGCCCTTCTAGGCCACTGGTGTATTGAAAGGAAATAGAGTCCTGGGTTCAAATCCTGACTCCACTCCCTGCTGACATTCTTCCAGGGGAGACCCACAATGAGCAGGACAAGTCAGTTAACCTCTTGTGAGCTTGGGCAAGTCACTTAACCTCTCTGGGTCTCCATTCTCTCATCTATAATACAAGCATAATGGTAGCACCCACCTGATAGGCTCATGGTGAGACTCCAATAGAGAGAACGCAAGTAACCAACTTAAACTAGTATCTGGAACAAAGGAGATGCCTCATGAACTATTAGCCATTTTTGTTGTTTTTAGCCAGGTTGGAGCTGGTCTGTCACCCCTGGATACCCACAACTCTGAGCTTTCCCAACTCAGCCCTGACCCCTCTGGGTCATCACTGTCTGGGGTGTATCATGGCCTGTGGGTTCTGGGGGGGTCAGAGTTGTCAGTCACCCTGGCTCCTCCTTATTGCCCAACACAGGCCAATCACAGAGCAGGAACATTTGTTAGAAGAATATGCGACAATAGAGATGAGCTAGGCTGGGGATGTGGCTCAAGCGGTAGCGTGCTCGCCTGGCATGCGTGCGGCCCGGGTTCGATCCTCAGCACCACATACAAACAAAGGTGTTGTGTCCGCCGATAACTGGAAAATAAATATTAAAAATTCTCAAAAAAAAAAAAGTTTAGAGATGAGCTAGACCCAGTTGCTGCCCTGAAGTTGCTCCTACTCTAGAGTAAGGAAAACACAGGTGCGAGTGCAGACAAGTCACCAGCTCTGTAAACACAGGCCTGCTGCTGGTCTGACTTTCCCTGAGGTTCAGAAGTTGGAGATGAGGGTTGGATGGTGGCTGCCAGACGACAGTAGTCAATGATGACCCACTGAAAGCCAGCTGTGTGCTGGGCCTTGTGCTATGGCTTCATGCACACCCCCTCATGTGTTTGTGAAGGAGGGTCTGTGGATATACCCATTTTCCAGATGAAGAAACTGAGGCTCAGAGATGTTAAGCAACTCACCCAAGGTCACAGGCAGAAAGTGGCAGAGGCAGGATTCAAACCCTGTCTCTCTAATCCCAAATGCTGCTGTGTAGCCAGTACCTGATTATTTGGGAATTGCCTGCCTGCCTTCCTTCCTTCCTTTCATGTTGGGGATAAAACCCAGGGCCTTGTCCATGCCAGTCAGGAGCTCTGCCCTGAGCTAAACCCCGGTCACTAGGAAGCTCTCTTGCACTGCTCTGGGCCCAGCCTTTTCTTCGTGCCATTTTAACCCGGGAAGTGAGCAGCTGTTCGTCTTGCCCTTTTCAAGGTAAGGAACTGGGGCCCGAGAGGGAATGTGACCCCGCCCCCACGCCCATGCCCACGGCTAGAAGGATAAAGCTATGATTCAGTGCCATAGGGCAGCCCAACATGGGAGACCTCGAAGGCCAGGTCAGCCATTAGCTGCATCCCCACCCACATCCATCAAGTGTCCCCAGGAAAGCAGAAGTGTGTCCTCTTCCCTCTCCAGGTCTCACTTCCTGCTGTGCTCAGGCTGGGGCTGAATGGCTCTGGGGGAGGGCCATGGCCATCCCAGGAAAAAGAGAAGTAGGAGTGGGTCTGGCTGCTGAGCCCCTCTCCCCTTTGTCCTGGCACGGCTTCCTCTTGCCTCTGTCACGGTGGGTCAGAGAGCAGGCATGGGGACAGCCTCTCCCTCCTGCTACTCACCATCGGCCTGCCTCGTCCCTGGGTCTCCCGGCGGTGCCATCTTCCCCTGGGAGGACTGTGTGACTTTGGACAGGCTCCCAAACCCCTCTGGATCTCAGCTTTCTCATCAGGAGAATGGGAATGAGAACAGAGAAGTCAGTGGGTTCATCCAGGAAGGTGCTGAACGGGGAGCCTGATCCCTCCATGGTACCAAGAAATGCAGAGCACTTGCCTTGCATGATCAAGGCCCTAGGTTCCATTCCCAGCACCAGAAAAGGGAAAAGAGAAATGCTGCTGTTGCTATTATGATATTCAGACCTGTTCGACGTGCATTGTGTCATTAGACTTTACACCCTGGCAAGTAGAGACTCAGGGGCCCATTTTCTAGAGACAGAAACTAATTCAGAGAAGTTAAGACATTCACCCTTTGTCAAACAGCAAATAATGTCCAAGGCAGGACTTAAGATCCAAGGAATCTGGCTTCAGGGCTCACATCCTTAAGCAGGGGCCTGGGTAGATGTACGAAGAACCTGTAGAGCTGTGCAGGGTGTGCAGTGTTGGACACTTGCTGCCAGACAGCCTCCCACACACATCCAATAACAGTGACAAGCACGTTGTGTGCACAGGTCATCTCCTGAATGCCTGTATGCATCCAGTCAACCTGCAAATTGCCACTGTTACACGTTTTTTGTTTTTTTTTCCCTCCAGTATTATTAGGAATTGTTGTTTTACCACTGAGTCACATCCCCAGCCCACTTTATTTTTTTTATTTTGGACAAGATCTCCCTAAGTTGCTGAGGCTGGCCTTGAACTTGTGATCCTCCTGCCTCAGCCTCCCAAGTGGCTGGGATTACAGGCATGCATCGGTGCACCCAGCTAGTTCAAGATAACTTTTTAAAAATCAGGGAATTCTCCAGGCTTGGTGGTATGCACTTGTAATCCCAGCAACTCGGGAGGTAGAGGCAGGAGGATCGTGAGTTCAAAGCCAGCCTCAGCAAGTTAACAAGGCCCTACGCAATTTAGTGAGAACCTGTCTCTAAATAAAAAAATAAAAAGGCCTGGGGAAGTGGCTCAGTGGTTAAGCCCGCTTGGTTCAATCCCTGTTACCAAAAACAAAAACAAAACAGGGAATTCAACTCTAGAAGCTTAGAACGGGACCTCAAATCTGCTCATTTTCCAGATAAGGAAACTGAGGCTCAGAAAGGGAAAGAGTCTTGAAGAGTCTTAGCAGAGGTGGCTTTTGACAGAGCCACATCATCTACCTCCATGGTTTCTTTGCTTTGCTAATCTAGGTGTCCATATTGTCCCAGATGGAGCTGCAACACACACACACACACACACTCACACCCTTGCAAAGTTGTGTGGTTGTGCTGGGATGCCACGGTTGAGAGGGGCGTGACTGCTGTGCGTGATTGCGTGGGCGTCCTGGCCTCACCCCTTTCCCTCTCCGTAGGCTGTGCTGTCAGACGACAGGGTGGGTGTCTGGCTGGGAGAGCCGGACCCCCCGGAGGAGCCCCTCATCTTGCAGGCATCTGTGCCCCCCCACCAGCTTCGGTTGGGCAGACTCCACCCTCACACCCCTTATCATATCCGGGTGTCCTGCACCAGCAGCCAGGGCCCCTCACCCTGGACCCACTGGCTCCCTGTGGAGACACCAGAGGGAGGTAAGAGGGTTGGGGAGGGACATGGCCCCGCCCACTAGACTTTGCTTGCACCAGTTCCCCCAGAGCGTCCCCTCTCACCCCTTTGCCCCACATGGCCTCAGTCTCCCTCCCGTCCAGTGCCTGACCCCTCGGCACTGCCCACTGGCATCTCTCCCAGATCTCTGCCCTGTGCTTCGGCTCACGGGAGGCTTGCTCGGGTTGCCTGCGCGTGTACCCTGTGCTCCCTGCCTCCAATTCCTGGGAACAGGGGCGGGGGTCAGAAAGAGGTGGGGGTGCCAGCTTCCCCTCTTCCCTGTCCTCCAGTGCCCCTGGGTCCCCCTGAGAACGTTAGCGCCATGCGGAATGGGAGCCAGGCCCTCGTGTGTTGGCAGGAGCCAAGGGCGCCCCTGCAGGGCACCCTGTTAGGGTACCGGCTGGCGTATCGAGGCCAGGACACCCCAGAGGTGGGTGCTGCTGGCTGGGCGTGGGTGGAATGGTTGGGGGAGGAGGGAGATGGGAAGAAGGCAGACCCTTGCTCGGCTTAAAACTACAGAGATACCACACTTGGTGCAGAACATTCTGGGCAGCAAAAGGAGATCCAAGGCAGAGATTAGGGAATGGCTATATATGACCCAATGCAAAAGCATTTCAGTATTCTAACAGTTTTACAGCCAGTAGCCATATGGCCTTTTGAGGAAGAGGCATATTTTCCTAATTTGCACAAAGGTACTACCTGAGTTTGTAATACCCCGGGTGGTGGAGGCAGATAGGATGGGAATTGGAAGGAGTTAGAGAGATGAACGTGAAAATCCAGTTCTTCACATTGACTGAGCAGTGCCATGCACCTAGCACGGTGCCAAGGAATCCAGGACATGGTAGAGAGTTAGCAGATAAAAGTCCCTGCCTGACGCAGCTAATGTTCCACTGGCCAGGGGTAAGGAGGGAAGAGAGGGCTTGGAGAAAGAGATGGAGTTGAGGCCAAGTGTGCAGTCCTGAGTTGGGGGCCTGGGTTCTGCTCTAATGCCACTTCTGACCTCCTAGGTGCTGATGGATGTAGGGCTAAAGCAAGAGGTGACCCTGGAACTGCGGGGGGACGGGGCTGTGCCTAACCTGACGGTGTCTGTGGCAGCCTACACCGCTGCTGGGGATGGGCCCTGGAGCCTCCCTGTGCCCCTGGAACCCTGGCGCCCAGGTAACTACAAAGCCATGCTCAGCCCCCCTGCAATCTACCCACAAGGACCTCGCCTCTCCTTGATGGCCTTGACTTGCTCCCTGTACGTTTTGTGTTTGTGTTACCCCAGCCGAGTCCCATTGGAAGCCTCCCTCACTCCCTCATGCGAGCCCTCTCTGAGCATGTCTCCCCTCTGTCCTTTCTCCTCACAGGGCAAGGACAGCCAATCCACCAGCTGGGTAAGGGCTTTTGTACCCCTTCTTCCCTCCGTCCCCTCAACACCCAGTGAGGGGTCAGTCACCACTCATGTACTCTTGACACATTCTCTTCATGTTTCTTAAACTCATTACTTGAACCCTCTGCTTTTTGGGTTTGTGTGGTCCTTGATGGAGGTGTCTAGAATGGCCCAGCGCTTTGTAGGTACTTGGTGAATGGTAGATGGATGGATGGATGATGGATAAATGGATGGATGGATGGATGAGTGGATGGGTGGACAGATGGATGGATGGATGAACAGATGGACAGATGGATGGTTGGACAGATGGACAGATGGACGGATGGGTGGATGGATGGATGAGTGGACAGATGGGTGGGTGGATGGTGGTTGAATGGATGGGTGGGTGGGTATATGGAAAGTGAATGAGTACTTGGATAGGTGAATGAATGCATGGGCAGGTTGAAGAAAGGATAGGTGGCTGGATAAGTGAGTAAATGAATGGATGTGTGGGTGGGTGGATTAGTAGAGGAAGGATAGAGAGTGGATGGGTATATGGATGGATGAATGGATGCATGGGCAGATCAAAGGATAGATGTTTGGATGAGTGAGTAAATGAATAGATGCATGGATTGGTGGGTGGGTAGGTGGATGGATGCATGCATGCATGGATAGATGGATGGATGAGTGGATAGATGGATGGATGGTGCATGGATGGATGGATGGATGGATGGACAGAAGGATGGACCAATGGATGGATGAATGGGGTGTCCTCCATACATCCATCCTCTCAAATATTTCTCCAATGATTCTTGAACATTCCTCCTACATGTATTGTACCCTGACACTAATACAGTCCACCATCTGTAAGTCAACTCACTATCCTTGAACACTCTCTCATGCCTTTCCATATTTCTTCACACATTCTTTCCACACGCACTCCACCCTCTTTCTATATCCCATCATGTTCCTTCCCTCCTTACACATACCTCCCGAGCCCATGACACACCTTCTCCTCTCATTCACGAGCTCTGTAAACCTGGAACCCACTCACCATGTATTCCATGTTGCAAACACTGGAAAACTTACAACCCACAGTTCATCCCACGCTCCTTAGATGTCACCCTCTCACCCCCACCAATCAGAACCCATTTTAACACACACACATACGCACACACAGAAATTCTTGACTAATCCTTCCGCCCTTTTGCACACCTGTCCCATCCTACTCACATGCCATGATCACTGTGCCCTCCACTCACGCTGAAGTTACATCCTCAAAAATCAAGTTTCCTTCCTTGTGTCAAAAACTAACAGCTGGCTGGGCGCAGTGGCGCATGCCTGTAATCCTAGCAGTTTAGGAGGCTGAGACAGGACGATTGTGGGTTCAAAGCCAGCCTCAGCAATTTAGTGAGGCACTAAGCAACTCAGTGAGACCCTGTCTCTGAATAAAATATGAAAAAGGGTTGGTTAAGTGCCCCTGAGTTCAATCCCAGTACCAAAACAAAAACAAAAACAAAAAAAAAAACTAACAGCTGGGGCTGGGGCTGGGGCTCAGTGGTAGAGCACTTGACTAACACGTGTGAGGCACTGGGTTCAATTCTCAGCACCACATAAGAAAAAAATAAAATAAAGTTCCATGAACAACTAAAAAAAATACATATATAAAAAACTAACAGCTGTCCCCCTGTGCGCACTCACCACACCCCTTTGCTCACTCATTTCACTCTCATTCTCGCTTTCTGTACTCACTCTGAACACTATTCAGAGATGTTCCCTAGTTTTCTGTCCCCATACTCCTTCCACACGCCCTGCACACACCTCTCGCACTATCCTGTGCTACAGGAATTCTCTTCCCCACTCACCTGTTCTCTACCCCCAAGCCCAGCACCTTGCACCACCATCACACACACACACCCCTGGACTGCTTCAGATTTGCCATGTCCATCCGCGTCCATCCGTCCCTCCTTGCATCCTTGCAGCCCATTCTGGATGCATCTGTCTTCCCCTCGCACTCATTGCACTAATTACACATTCCGCAAGAACTCATCCTACTCTAAGTTCACCCATCCTGCAAGTTTCTCACTCTTTGTGCTTAACAGACATACCGTGTCCATTGCATGCCCCGCCCAGCCCCGCTTAGCCCCGCCTAGCAGTGTTCCTGGGTTTGCAGGTGTCTCCATCCCTTGCAAAGACATCCACAGCTTTGTCCATGCCTCCTGCCTTCCTCCCACATCCCATCCTTGGGTCCCAGGGAGCTGGATCCAGGACCTCAGCCATGACCTGTCCCCTGTACCTCCTGACAGTGAGTGAACCCCCAGCTCCTGCCTTCTCGTGGCGCTGGTGGTATGTACTGCTGGGAGCAATTGTGGCCGCTGCCTGTGTCCTCATCTTGGCCCTGTTCCTTGTCCACCAGCGAAAGAAGGAGACCCGCTATGGGTGAGTTAGCGCTCCACGGGGAGGCTTCTGTGGACTGGAGGCTTCTATGGACTGAAGCTGGGAGGCCGGGAGGCCAGTGAGGAGGCTGGTGTGGGAGAGAGAGGACCAAGAATCGGAACAAGGGCCAGGAGGCCTGGGGGATGGATGGAGGGCCGAAGGGAGCAGTCCAAGATGTGCTCAGCAGACGCTGGAGCACAGGGACAGAGGGCTCGGGTCTGGGATGGTGCCTGCTTTAGCCACTGGTGGAAGGAGTGGGGTCCGCATGATTTACAGGTTTCTCCCCATTTCCCCAGAGAGGTGTTTGAGCCAACAGGGGAGAGAGGTGAACTCGTAGTCAGGTACCGTGCGCGCAAGTCCTACAGTCGCCGGACCACCGAAGCCACCCGTAAGTAGACTCTGTGCTTCCCTGCGCTGGCCTGGAACTAAAATAACCATAGAGAACTGGGTATTCAGAGCTTCTGTAGGTGCGTGAGAGAAGAATCTCTGAAGGCCTTTGGATACTGGAGTGTTAGAACAACAGTCCCTGAGCGGAATTGTGGAACCATACGGAGCTTTGGGCTAATAGAATCTTAGACACAGTTGGTCTTCAAATCACCAGACCTCAGAGCCATAAGATCTTGGAATAATGTGGGCATGGTGATGATAATGATGAAGAGTGTGACAGTGAAAATGATGAGCTGGTGATAGGGACAGTGCTGGAGGTGATGATGGTAAGGACCGTGAGGAGACGTGATAGTGATGGTGATATGACAGCCTAGCCTAGCGCGTCCTATGTGACAGGTGCCACTCAAAGGATTCTACACATATCGCCCCCTTGATCCTAACAACCACTCAAGGACATGGGTACTTACCTGTGGGGAAATGGTGGCACAGAATGGTTAAATAAGTGACTCAAAGCCACACAGCTTGTAAGTTGGATAGCTGGGATTTGAACCCAGATTGTTGCGCTCTGAAGTCTGTATACATAACTACCATGCTGTGCAGCCTCTTAGACTCATAGAATGTTAGGGAGATAGAATCGGTTTTGGTCTGAAAAATGATGTGCTCATCACTATTCTATTGGTGAAAATAATAGAATCATAGCTTATAGAACTTTCTGAGGACCATAGAGGTCACAGCTAATGAGGGACAGAGGGAGGTCTTGATCTCACACACAGCTGCAGGCCCCAGGGGGATGTTTGGAAAGGGCTGGGAAAGACATTTATCTAAGAGGAGAAGGAAGAAGAAGAGAGAGAATTGCAGTAATTTAATGGAATAGTACACAGAGGCAGTTCCTAAAGTGTGATTCTGGTCCCTTGGGGTCCCTGAGACCTAGCAGGGGGCCTGGGGTCAAAACAGTTTTCATAATAATACCAAGATGTCATTTGCCCTTTTGCATGCTCCTCTGGTGAGCATTCAAGGGCGTTTTCCTGAGGCTCCCTGACCTGCTGTGATGTCCTCAGTTGCTGATGGATGAGTGCTTGTGTGTTCCTGTGTCTTAAAAATCTATCAGTTTTAGCCGGGGATGCACGCCTGTGATCCCAGTGGCTTGGGAGGTTGAGGCAGGAGGATCACAAGTTCAAGGTCAGCCTTAGCAACTTAGCGAGGCCCTAAGCAACTCAGCGAGGCCCTAAGCAACTTAGCGAGACTCTTTCTCAAAATAAAGTATAAAAAGGGCTGGGAATGTGGCTCAGAGCTAAGCACCCCTGAATTCAATCCCCAGTACCAAAAAAGAAAGAAAGAAAGAGAAAGAAAGTGGATGCCCCAGGAAAACAGGTCCTGTCCCATTCTTGACCTGAGTGTTGGTTTCACAGTGATGTTCACAATGAATTTGTGAAAATCCATTGAGCTGCTCACTTAAAATTTATGTGCAGATTATACTTCAATAAAAAGAAATAATTAAAAAATAATGTTTAATATCGATTTACCTAATATTTTCATATCTCTTGTAAGTTTTAGTTGAATATTATGTCTGCTGTGCTACCTGATAATGTCTTTTATATGAGGACTTATTTGCTTATTTACTTTTTGATGGGCACATAATGATTGTACTTATGGGGTGCCGGGGAAGCTTGGAGACAGGTGTGCAATGTGGAGTGTTGAAGTCAAGATAATTACCATTGTCATCTCCTGAACATTTGCCATTTCTTTGTGCTGGGAATTTCTGAATTCCTCTTTAAAAGAAATAATTGGGGGGTGGTATTAGGGATTGAATTCAGGGGCCCTTGATCACTGAGCTACAATCCCAGTCCTATTTTGTATTTTATTTAGAGACAGGGTCTCAATGAGTTGCTTAGCATCTCGCTTTTGCTGAGGCTGGCTTTGAACTCGTAATCCTCCTGCCTCAGCCTCCCGAACTGCTGGGATTACAGGAGTGCCCCATCTCGCCCAGCTAAAAGAAATATTTTTAATAACTGGTACAGCAGAACAATTGTGGTACACACCACAGTAAAATTGTGGCCACATTTTACTCCCATAGTTGCCACTGTGGGGTGTCGTCAGAGTTGCTGGGCTGGGGAGGCGGGGTGTCCAGGGCAGTAGCTAATTCTGAATCAAAGCAGAAGTAGTTCAGTGTCTCAACCAAGGGCACATCCCTGCTGGCGAGGGCCACCTGGAAGGCAGCCCACTCCATGGCTCCGCCCACCCTCCCTGTAGTGAACAGCCTGGGCATCAGCGAGGAGCTGAAGGAGAAGCTGCGGGACGTGATGGTGGACCGGCATAAGGTGGCCCTGGGGAAGACCCTGGGAGAAGGTGAGTCCTCCCCATGCACGCATCTCCTGAACCCTGGGGTCTTTCAATTCCCCGCCCCCACCCAGCTCCAGAAAATACAGTCCCCACGCCCCCACCACTCCCCCAGGTCAGTGTCTTCCTCCCGCCCTCCACAGGGGAGTTCGGAGCTGTGATGGAGGGCCAGCTCAACCAGGACGACTCCATCCTCAAGGTGGCTGTGAAGACCATGAAGAGTGAGTCTGAGCATGCATGTGCACACCTGGGGACGCCCATCCCCGATGCCAGGCCCCTTCCCTGTGCCCCAGGAGAGCAGAAAAGTCAGTGTTTATAGCCGGGGAATGGAGCTCCTGCCAGGTACTTCAATAGAAAGAATCAACCTGGGGACATTACTCCCGCAGCCGAGGAAGGGCTGGAGGAACGGCGGGAGCAGGAAGGCAAGCTGGACATCAGCGGCAGCAGCTGGATGTCACGTCCACCCCTCGGCCTGAAGGGCTGAGGGAGGAAGGGTGTCACCAGAGCCGTGGCCGGGAGCGCCCGGAAGAAGATGGGAACACAGAGTTAGGGGCCGCCTGTGGGAGCTGTAAACACAGGGGACAGACAGCTTCCACCAAGGGGATTCAAGGAGCAGAAAGAGCGAGAACTGTGCTGGTTCCTCCCCGTCTCCCTCCCCCTGCCAGTTGGCAAACCCCAGCAGGGAATCCCTTCCGTGGGAGCCTGGGAAATGCAGTTTTAGGATCGTCCCTTTGTGACCCATAGGTAGCAGAGCACAGGCAGGTCCAGATCAGCTGGATGCTTCCTTTACCAGCTGTGCAATCTTAGGCTAGGGACTCCCTCTCTGAGCTTCCCTCGTCTGAGGGAAGACAGCAAGGTGCCCGGCTGCCTGGGTTGGAACTCTGCCTGTTGGTTTCTAAGTCACGTGAGCCCTTCAGGCAGGTTTCTTAAACTTTTGGGGCCTTGGTCTCCTCATCTTTTAAATGGGGCGATGAGTTAGAACATCTGTTTGATGGAAATCAGATGATGATGATGATGATGGTGATGGTGACAATGACGATGATGGTGACATGACAATGACGATGATAATGACAACAATGATAGGAGGAGGAGGGAAGGATGACCCACCCCCTTTCACCTGATCTTTTCCCCCAAGTTGCCATCTGCACAAGATCAGAGCTGGAGGATTTCCTGAGTGAAGCCGTGTGCATGAAGGAATTCGACCACCCCAACGTCATGAGGCTCATTGGTGAGTGACGGAGGGACCCATTCCCACGAGGCCAACCCGAGGGAAGAGCCCTCCTTCTGGTACTAGAAAGGTCAGTCTCCAGGCTCCCCGCTCCCTGCGCCTTTAGGATCAACGCATCCCCCCTCCTCTTCTCCCTCAGCTTGGAATGTGACCTCTGACCATTCCCAGAAATAGCTGAGGTCCCCAGGAGGGCTCCGGAAACATCCCTGGGAACTCTGTTAGAAATGGCTTCTCTGAAGCTCCCGTCCTTGCTACCCACCCCCCAAACATATGGAGGCAAAATTTGAGGGGGAGGCAGAAGAGGATGCGGCCGGCTAGGAGGAGGTCTTGGCTTCCCCTCCTGTCCAGTGGGAGTGACAGGAGCTTCCTGGGGGGGTGGCGCCCAGGCGTCTGTTTCCAGGGTTCCGAACGAGAAGGCTTTCCAGCACCTGTGGTCATCTTGCCATTCATGAAACATGGAGACCTGCACAGTTTTCTCCTCTATTCTCGGCTTGGGGACCAGCCAGTGGTAAGGGGCATTTAATCCTCCAGGCCTCAAGTATTCATGGAACACCTACCTAGCAGGTACCCAGCACTGCTCACACCCCGGGGAAGATCACTGTGACCCCGAGCCTGCCCTCACGGAGCCTGTCTTCCAGCGGGAAGACCAGGCAATAAACAAGCTGAGGAACACATAACCGAGATAACTTAGGTGCTAGGCGGGAAATGCAGAAGAATGAATGATAAGGAGTCCAGTGAATGGATTCAGTTAGACTGGGAAGGCCTCGCTAAAGAGGTGGTCTTGAAGGAAGAGTGGGCTTGTGGGGCACAGGGTGATTGGACAGGAAGCAGACCAAGCCAGGGCTCAGTGTGGGCACAGGCTCAGTCGTGAGAACAAGCCTGGTTTGAAGACCAGGAAAGAGACACATCGTATATGTGGAGGCGAGGAGGAGATCCTAGAGAAAGGCAGGAGCAGATTCTATAGGGCCCCGTAGGCTATGGAAAGGGGTTGGGTTTAATTCTCAAAGCCATGGGGAAACCACTGGGGCAGAGCAAGGCATGCACGGAAGGGAAGGAGGAATGAGAGGAGACCGACCTTGGGGACTGCCATGACCTCCCTCTCCCCCATCTTGGCCCCCAGTTCCTGCCCACTCAGATGCTGGTGAAGTTCATGGCAGACATTGCCAGCGGCATGGAGTATCTGAGTACCAAGCGATTCATACACCGGGACCTGGCCGCCAGGAACTGCATGTAAGGTCAAGCCTTTGGGGATCCTCACCTTCCTCAGAGAGCTCCCACCCTCCTTCCTAGGATGAAAGAGGGCGGGACCCTTCAGGGCAGGTCAGAAATCAAGACCCATTTAGAAAAGTCAGCAAGGGCCAAGCATGGTGGTGAGTCCAGGAATCCCAGAGACTCAGGAGGCTGAGGCAGGAGGATCGCAAGTTTGAGGCCTCAGCAATTTAGTGAGACCCTGTCTCAAAATAAGAAATAAAAGGGGACGTGCTGGGGATGTGGCTCAGTGGTAGAGCACCTCTGGGTTCAATCCTCATCTCTGCAAAAAAGAAAAAAGGAGAGGTCATCGGGGGAGTCTGGGAAGGCTTCCTCAACCAGGGACACCTGAGTTGATACCTTGAAGAAGAATGGAGGACAAAAGAGGTGGGGTTGGGGAGACAGCTCAGTGCATAGCACGAGGTGAGTAAAGTGGAGGTGTGACATGCAGGTCCCATCTGTGTCCCCTCCCTGCTGAGTGTCTTGCCTGGGACTGCCCTTAGGGAAGGGTCACATTGGATAAGGAAATCAGATTCCTCGGCAGTAGCAGGCAGGAAACAGCCCAGAACTGGGAGTAAGAGGAGGTGCAGAGGGAGCGGAACCCTAAGCTTAGACTCTGAGTCTCCTGACAAGGTCAGAGTCATAGAAATCACAACTGGAGAATCACAGAACCTTCTGAAAAGGGCATCGTATTCACAACTCTCAGGAAAATGGAAGTTTCTCCCTGCCCCAACTTTTTATTTTAAAAAATTTCGATCTTAAAGAAGTTGAGAGAATCATACGAGTGACACCCCTGTTGACATTTCTCCATGTTCCTTTTCTTCTCTCCCCTCAACCATTTACAAGCAAATCCCTGAGATCGTGATCCTTCATCTCTAGATCTGAAGTGGGTAGCCAAGAATAAGGGTTTTCTTAATCTTATCTAATCACAGTTCTATTGTCCCAACTAAGAAGATTAATAACGATTCTGTCACATAACACATGCCACATTTGGATTCTTCCAATTTTATTCCATTTTTTTTTTTAGTACCAGAGTTTGAACCCAGGGATACTTAATCATTGAGCCACATCTCCAGCTATTATTATTATTATTATTATTATTATTATTATTATTATTATTGTTTTATGTTTTATTTTGAGACAGGGTTTCCCTAAGTTGCTTAGGACCTCACTAAGTTGCTGAGGTTGGCCTTGAACTTTCGATCCTCCTGCCTCAGCCTCCTGAGCCCTTGGGATTACAGGCGTGCACCACTGCACCTGGCTACAAGGCCTATTTTAGAATAAAGGCTTGAGTGTCTCGTGTACACACATAGATGGATGGGATGCACAAACACGAAACACAATATCTGCCTCCTCAAAAATGTGTGCTCAAAAATAGCAACACTGTTTACAGTTGTTTCCCCTCATGATCCCGAGGCTGGCTGGGAACTGAGGCTTATGTTGCTTCCTTCACCATGGGAGAGTATGGTACAGAGCCCTGGGGCTGCCCTTGAGGAGCCACACTGGATAAGGAAACCAGACTCCCCAGCAATAGACAAGTAGAAATTCAAAATTCAAAGTATAGTTTCTACTGAAAGCTTATTGCTTTTGCAACATCATAACATCAAAAGGCCCTAAGTGGAATCTTTGTAATCCTGGGACTATCAGCACAAAAACAAAGCAAAAGTGGAAAAAACCTAGAGGGGTGCTTACTGGAAGGAAATGTGTTTCTTTTTTTATTTCATTTTTATACTTAACATGTTGATATATATTTACATTCACTAAACACACCTTAGCAAAGTGCAGCGGTGCACACCTGTAATCCCAGTGACTTGGGAGACTGAGGCAGGAGGATCACAAGTTCCAAGGTCAACCTTGGCAAGCTAGCAAGGCTCTAAGCAACTTAGTGAGACCCTGTCTCAAAATAAAAAATAAAAAGACACCAGGCGCGGTGGCACACTCCTGTAATCACAGCAACTTGGGAGGCTGAGGCAAGAGGATCACAAGTTCAAAGCCAGACTCAGCCATTTAGTGAGGCCCTGTCAGCAAGACCCTGTCTCTAAGTAAACTATTAAAAAAAGGACTGGGGATGTGGCTCAGTGATTAAGCACCCCTGGGTCCCATCCTCAGTACGACAAGAATAAAATAGAATACACCGTATGTGCAGCTCAGTGAGTTTCGATGTGTGTATTGACTCATGTAACCACCACGGAAGGAATATTTCTCAGCCCCAGGAGACTCCTTTGTGCCCCTTCCCAGTGTTTTTCCCTAAGCAGCAGCTTCTCTGTCACCAGCACTAGTTTCACCTCTTCCTAAATGTCCTATAAATGGGATCGTGCAGCGGGTCTCCCCATATTGGGCTTCCTTGACTCAGCCTAACACTTTTGAGATGGTGTGTGTTGCTGTGTGTACCAGCAGTTTTTTTTTTTTTTGTTGTTGTTGTTCTTTTTAGATGTACATGACAGAAGAATGTATTTTGACGTATTATACATACATGGAGTATAACTTGTTCTAATTAGGATCCCATTCTTGTGGTTGTACGTGATGTGGAGTTTCACTGGTTGTGTATTCATATACGAACATAGGAAAGTCATGTCTGATTCATTCCACTGTCTTTCCCATTCCCCTCCCCCTCCTTTCCTTCATTCCCCTTTGTCTGATAGAAAGTACTTCTATTCTTCCTACCCCCCTCTCCACCTTATTGTGAGTCACCATCCACATATCAGAGAAAACATTTGGCCTTTAGCTTTTGGGACTGGATTATTTCACTTAACATAATAGTCTCCAGTTCTTTCATTTCTTGGCAAATGCCATAATTTTCATTCTTCTTTAAGGCAGAGTGATATTCCATTGTGTATATACGCCACATTTTCTTTACCCATTGATCTGTTGAAGGGTGCCTAGGCTGGTTCCATAGTTTAACTCTTATGAATTCAGCTGCTGTAAACATTGATGTGGCTGTGTCACTGTAGTGTGCTGATTTTAAGTCCTTTGAGTATAGACCAAGGAATAGGATAACTGGGTCCAATGGTGGTTCCATTCCAAGTTTTCAGAGGAATCTCCATACTGCTTTCCAGAGTGGTTGCACCAATTTGCAGTCCCACCAGCAGTGCATGAGTGTTCCTTTTCCCCCATATCCTTGCTAACATTTATTGTTGCTTGTATTCTTGATAATTGCCATTCTGATTGGAGTGAGATGAAATCTCAGTGCAGTTTGAATTTGCATTTCTTTAACCAGCAGTAAATTCTTTCTTTTTCTGGGTGGGATTCCCTAGTTTGGATGGCCTGGCATATTTTTTCTTAATCTGGGTGCTGGAAATGTGGATGTGTTTGTGAAAATTCAATGAGCTCTTCATTTATGATTTGGGCACATTTCTGTATGTATCACATAGTTCAAGAAAACTTTTTTTTTTTTGTACTGGGGATTGAACCTAGGAGAGCTTTTACCACCAAGCTACACCTAAAGCCCATTTATTTATTTATTTATAGACATGGATTTAGCAATTGCTGAATTGCTGAGGCTGGCCTCAAACCTGTTATCCTCTTGCTCCAGCCTCCCAAGTCACTGGGATTACAGACCACCACACCTGGAGAGTCCAAGAAGACTTTAAAAATCAGGGAATTAGGGACTGGGGTGTGGCTCAACAGTAGGGCGCTCGCCTAGCATGTGCAAGGCCCTGGGTTTGATCCTCAGCACCTCATAAAAATAAATAAATAAATAAATAGAGGCGTTGTTCCCAACTACAACTGAAAAATAAAATATTTTAAAAAACAATTTTCAAAAAATCAGGGAATTAAACTCAAGAAGCCTAGAAAGGACCTCAAATCTGGCAAAAGCCAAAGTTGGAAGGGTTCTTAGAGACCCCTTGTCCTACCCTCTTTATACACATGTAACTAAAACTCAGGCAGTTCCCTCCCAGATGAGGGCAAAGGTGCTGGCAGCAGATCCCCACCCCGAGGCAGGACAGTGAGGGCAGGAGGAAGAGCTGTGTGTGAGAGCCAGGGTGGGCTTCAGGGTGGAGATGGCTGAGGCCCTGACCCTGGTCCCTCCCCCAACCTGGGCAGGCTGAACGAGAACATGTCCGTGTGCGTGGCAGACTTTGGGCTCTCTAAGAAGATCTACAACGGGGACTACTACCGTCAGGGACGCATTGCCAAGATGCCCGTCAAGTGGATCGCCATCGAGAGCCTGGCTGACCGAGTCTACACCAGCAAGAGCGACGTGGTACATGTGCCCTCACCAGAAGTGGGGAAAAGTGGGGATTCAAGTCGTGGGGTGGAGGGCATTGGGGGTGTGCCTGGGCAGCTGCAGGTGCGGGACTCACAGGGCCATGTGACATTCCGGCACAGGGGTGTGTTTATATGACCTGGGTACACATGGAGATGTGGGGGGCACAGCAGTGTACACATGCCTGGGGAAAATACGGATTCATGTGTGCATGCATGGTGGCCATGTGGACATTGAGGGTCAGAGAAGCAGTGGTGACCACGTGTGCGTGTCTACAGCCTGGTTGTGGGGGTGGTGACACATGAGATCCTGTGACCACTAAGTGTGTAAATGTGTGTATGGATGGATGTCTATACATCCGCAAAAATCACCCAGACATGGATGTACGTATGGCACAGTGTTTCTATGAACACCTGTGATACACCCCCAGTGGGGACTGTGGACACATTTGCACGCACGTGTGAGTGTACCCCATACCTGTGTATCGGGAGGCCTTTGTGTAGAAGAGAACCTCTAATTGCCTCCCCTCTGCTCCTTACAGTGGTCCTTTGGGGTGACAATGTGGGAGATTGCCACGCGGGGTCAGACCCCCTATCCAGGAGTGGAGAACAGTGAGATTTATGACTACCTGCGCCAGGGAAACCGCCTGAAGCAGCCCGTGGACTGTCTGGACGGCCTGTGAGCACGCTAAGAAATACTCCCCCGCCCCAGCCCCAGAACTCACTGCAAACCCCTGAGCACCCACAGATGGCTCTCACATCTCCAGGCCCCTAGAAAACCTGCATGGAGTCCCTCAGAAAGAGACTCACTTGTTCCTGGCTCCACGCCTAGCCAGCTGGTGTTTGGTGGGGGGTGAATTAGCTAAAAGGTGCGCTTTCCTGCTTTGTCTTGTGTGTGGAACACAAGCTGGGCCAGTTCCCTCTCTCTGCAGCCAGGAAACCTGGGCAGTGTGTAACTGCCTGCTCACCCTGCCTCTGGAACCCCAGAGGCCTCCAATTCATCCCAGGCTCCTGAGCACCCACACTCCCCTCAAATGTCCCTCAACACCCAGGACCCTACGCAAAACCTTCCTGTTTGTTTTTATTGATCTTCTGCAGACTCTCAGGTCTCTCCTGAGCTGTCTGCAGGACCCTTGAGGACACACTTAGCAAACTTTGCAGCATGATGGTATAAGAAGGGCACTTTAAGGGTAAAGAGAGGATGTTGCTCAGGTCAGGAGGAGGCAGCCTACAGACTCCCTAGGTCCCCCTCGGTTACTTCAAGAGCTGAGGAGAGTAAGAATAATAGCTAACTTTTTTTTTTTCTTTTTGGTACTGGGGATTGAACCCAGGGGCATTCCATCACTGAGCCACATTCCCAGCCTTTTTTTTGTATTTTATTTAGATGCAGGATCTCTCTGAGTTGCTTGGGGCCTCGCTAACTTGCTGACACTGGCTTTGAACTCAGAATCCTCCTGCCTCAGCCTCCTGAGCTGCTGGAATTACAGATATGCTCCACCATGCCCAGCTATAGCTAACATTTTTATACAACTTACCAGAAGGCTCTGTTTGGGGTGCTTTGCATGTACTAACTCATTTGATCCTTACCACAACTACAGGGAGTATATAGGTATCATTATTATTCCCATTTTGCAGATGAGAATACTGAGGTCCACAGGGAGTATGAGTCACTTGCCAAATGTTGCACAGCTGGTGGGGTAGATCTCTTTGCCCCAGAATCTAATCTTAAATCAACAAGCATTTACTATCTCACACCATTTCTGAAACTCAGGATCTGGGAACAGCTTAGCAGGGTCTCTATGGCTTAGGGTCTCTAGTGACATTGCAGTCTAGATGTTGGCTGCACCCAAAGTCATCTGAAGACGGGACAAGAACATTGCTTTCAATGTGTGGCACTCACATGGCTGAGACTGGAAGCCTCAGTTCCTTGCCATGTGGCCCCTCCATAGTGCTGTCAAAGGAAGTCGCAAAGTCCTGCCCACACTCAAGGGAGAGGCTTTGTTCTTCATCTCCTCCCCCTCCCAATACTAGGGATGGCACCCAGGGGTGCTCTAATACTGAGCTACATCCCCAGCCCATTTTATTTTTTATTTTTGAGACGGGATCTCAGTAAGTTGCTGAGGCTGGCCTAAAACTTGTGATCCTCCTATCTCAGCCTCCTGAGTAGCTGGGTTAATAGGTATGTGTCACCGTGCCAAGCTAGTCTTCATCTTCGGAAGGAGGAATGTCAAAGAATTGACATATCTTGAGTCGGTACAGCTTATAACTGGCAGAGTCAGGGTTTGATGCCAATTTCTGCCCTAGAGGAACACATTATTAAGCTCTGCTCTAGGAAACCCTCACCAGAACACCATTCCAGACCTAGAGAGGTTCCCACGACCCTTCCCAGTTCCTGAGTCTTCTAGGACTCCACCCCCACCCTGGAAACTCTCAAGAATTCTCAAATCCCCATAAATGCTCCCAAAGTGCTGAGGTTCCCTTTAACTCTCAGGCCCCTGGGTGTCCTAAAACGTCCCCAAAGCCCCAGAATGCACCCCTTCTGAGCCCCTGTTCAGTCTCCCACCCCTCCCCTTGCCATCCTAGGTACGCGCTGATGTCCCGGTGCTGGGAGCTGAACCCTCGAGACCGGCCAAGTTTTACAGAGCTACGGGAAGACCTCGAGAACACGCTGAAGGCCCTGCCCCCTGCCCAGGAACCTGACGAAATCCTCTATGTCAACATGGATGAAGGCGGAGGTCCTCCTGAACCCCCTGGAGCTGCTGGAGGAGCTGACCCCCCAACCCAGCCTGACCCTAAGGATTCCTGTAGCTGCCTCACTGCAGCCGAGGTCCATCCTGCTGGACGCTACGTCCTTTGCCCATCTACAGCCCCTGGCCCCTCTGCGCCTGCTGACAGGAGCTCTCCGTCACCCCCAGGGCAGGAGGATGGAGCCTGAGACAATCCTCCACCTAGAACTCCCTCTCAGGACCCAAGCTAGGCACTGCCACTGGGGGAACCTCACCCCCCACTTTTCCACTCCAGGCCTTATCCCCAACTGTAGTCCTCTTCCTACCCTTCCCACCCTCATCCCAGACAGACCCTTCCTTTTCTCTGCACCGTGAAATCCTCATCCCTAAGAGGCCATGGTTGAACTGCAATCTCTAAGGGCCCACCCTCCCTCCCCCCGAGGTCTGACATTCCAAGAATCTAGATTCCTATGTTTAAGGAGCCTAGATTCAAAGATTCTAGGTCTCAAAGATGCTATGAGTCTTGGGTTCTAAGGACCTGAAATCCAAAGTCTCTAAATAGTGCTGAGAGTCTGGACATGTAAATTCTAAGGCTGTGAGATTCTGCAGCTTGAGATTTTATGGTTCTAAGATTCTTGATAAGGCCCCAAGTTAGGTTCTAGAGCTCTAAGATTCTAGTTTTAGAATCTAAGTTTCTATGAGTCTAGATTTTATTTTTTTAGAGTTCCAAGTCCTTCAGGTATAAGACTCTAAATTCTACAATTCTAAAGATTCTATAATTCTAGACATGGTAGTTCTAAGGCCTGTTGTTCTAAAATTTGATTGTCTAAGGTTCTTTAAGTCTCAATCTTCTGGCTATAAGAATCTAAACCATAAGGCTTCAAACTTATTTTCTTAAGTTCTGAGATTCTAAATGATGGTTGATTATAGTTTCTGAGGCTTCATGATCACAGATTCTCTTATATGAGATCCTGGATCTGAAAGGCATTAGATTTTAGAATCTGCACTCCAAAAATTCTAAGATTCTAAAAATGGAGATTCTAAGGTCTAATGTTCTAAAATGTGTTGTTCTAAAACTTAGTCTAAGAATCTAAATTCTCTATGATTCTAGATCATATGCTCCAGGATTCTAGATTATTAAACTCTTAAGATTGTAATGTCGGCATATTTCAAGGCCCTGTAAAGTCCTATTGGTCTAAGTTTTGGATCCTAAGCATCCAAGTTATAAGGCCCTCACATTTGTGACTAAGTTCTAATAATTTCTAATGTTGGACACCTCTAGGTTCTGTGCTGCATTCTACCATTCTAGGATTATAGTTAAAGGTCCAAGAATACACATTTCTAAAATCTTAAGGTTCTAGGCTCTGTAATTTAAGATTCAAATATTCTTAAGAGTCTAAAAGTCTACAAGTCTAGAACATTAGGTACAACTGCAACCTTCTAACCATATAGTATTCTGTGTCCCTTCTTCTTAGGCACCTTCTCTTCCTCCTCCCCTCATAGGAGGTGTGCCCCCTCAAGCCTGTGCAATGCATTAGGGATGCCTCCTTTCCCCCAGGGGATGGACCATCTCCTTCCTTTTGGGCCATGCTGCCCCCTTGAGCCAGTCCCTCATTCCTATAGAGTGTGGACTATGATGCCTCCAGAGGGGCTCAGATCACATAAAATTTTGTCAATCACTATTTCGTCTCCTCTTATTTCCATTCGGCTGTGATGTGGCTCCTCTCCCTGACAATTCAGTTTCCCATCAGTAAAAAGAAAAGTTTGGTAGGGTCTAGGAAATCTCTCCTCACTAGAGAGGGTAGAAAGGAATATACACACAGGCAAAAAGACACACAGGCAAAAGAAGTTCATGCTCTCAAAACATCAGTGAAGCTGTGCGCAGTGGCCCGTGCCTATAATCCCAATGAGAGTTCCAGGCCAGCCTCAGCAACTTGTCTGGAAAAATAAATAAAGAACCTGTCTGGAAAAATAAATTAATAAAGCTGGGGAGGTACCTCCTGGTAAAGCATCCTGGGTTCAATCCTCAGGATTGAACCTCCTGTCTCCACCCCATCTTCCCCCAAAAAACTTTTGAGAAACAAGCACAAGTAGAGATATTCCCAGAGTCTCTCTCACACACCCCCAAAGTAACAGACACATGAACAAATGGACATAATCAGATCATATATGGTCACAAATGCAAAGACACAGAAATTCGGACACAGAGAGTAATAGAGAAATAAATTCACACTGGCATAGACATATTTAGAAAGATATGCACAGGCAGATGCTACCAAGAATAAGAAGAATTTTGAGTCACAGACACAGTAAAGTGACACATACTCAGAGATAAGTAGAATACAATAGGTCCTCACACACCCAAACGTTCAGACTCACATGGAAACACTGGTACAGAACACCTCGATCCAAAGACCCACAGACAGACAGACACCTGCCAAGAGGAGTCCTCTGGGTCCTGTACACAACACTATGTTTCAAGGCACTTGTTCCTGGGTGTGTCCAGCTGATGGAAAAACCCTAGGCAGCGCCCGAACGCCCCCCAGTGGCGGCTCCTGAGAATCGGGCACGGTTCAATCCGGGCCACAAACTTTTTTAGAACAAATCGTTTGTGGGGAACTGGGAGGAGAGAGGAAGTCGGACGTGGGCGAGGGGCGGGGTGTCTGGACTGGAACCTCCGGGCCCACGTGAGTGTCTGTCCCGCCGCTGAGTGGGTGCTGTGTGTTTAGGTTGCTGTGGTGTGAGCTTGTAGTGTAACTGTCCTGCGTGTCTTTGTCATTCGATGCTGCCTGCCTGTGCGGGCGTTCGTGGACATATCTACATTGCATTTTGGTGTATTTTCCCCATTTGATGCATCTGATCTGACTCACGCCTGTTTATCTGTATGGTGTGTGCCTTTGTCTGAGTACAGGCTGGTGAGGCTTTCGTGGCCTAAGGGAATGGCTCAGTAGGCAGTGGGCGCCTGCATTGTGTATCTCTGCTTGTTTTTTGTTGTTGTTTTGTTGCGGCGCTGTGGATGGACCCAGGGCCTCTGGAATGCTAGGCTAGCGCTCTGCCTCTGAGTTACACCCCCAGATCCGCATCGTGTATCTCGAGTCTGTAGCTCATTTAAGTGTTGCCTTCTGAGTTCAGAGGCGACAGGTGGCGCAGTGTGAGGCATTGTCACTTTTGTATATATTAGCGTGAGACTTAATTACAGATCCGGTGTTTGAGCTTGTCGGTATAGATGCCAAACAGCCAGATTTACCGACCAGCACTATAGGATGTTCGGGATGGAGATCTGCGAACTTCTGAAGCTCTTTTCGAAGAGGTCGGCTCTGTGGTCGCGTGCAGAGCGTCCGTTTCACGTAAGGTACCAACCATAGAGAAAGGGCTGCGAACCTAGGATCGTGGGAAGAGCCGCCTGTGAGATGTACTACCAAAGGAAAGGGGATGCAGTGTCCTTTACAACTTTCCTCCCGTTGTTAACCTAGCCTTTCTTTTCAACCTTTCTGGGCTATCTGAAGACAGATTTTGTTTATCCATAAACAAAATCTAATAGCTTCTATTCCGTATACCTCCCTCTACAGCTAAACTTGTGAGGCAATCTTCTAAAGAATGGCCAATCTGGTGAGCTTTTCATAAAGCGGTCAATCTATCCCGGCTTTAGTGAAATAAAACAATATTTGCGATTGGTGGATAGATTGTTTTGAAACCGCCCTAACGGCAAGGGGTGGGCCCTACGAGAATTCATCTCTTTCCGGTTTCTTAAAGGCAACAGGAAGGAGGGAATTTCTGCCGACACCGCCCCCCCCCCCCTGCCTCATTTGGTTGGTTCTAGTGATTTTACCCGCTCGGACTCCTCAAGGGGCGGGAGATCTGGATCAATCAGAATGCCTGTTACAGAGAAGCTTAGTTTGATCAAAGGACGGCGGAGGAAAGGCCTTGGGGGCTCTCTTTCTGAGAGCTCATCCTTGATTGGTGTAAGCCGTTACTCCCTTTTCCTCATTTGACCCTACAGCGGCTGGCGCGCGGACGGTACCCAATCAGCACGTGCTCCGCCTCTTGCCTTTTCCCGCCCTCCGCTCCAGCCGCGGCTTCAACGTAGGCCAACGCTTCCTCCCCGACAGCTCCGAGCCCCTCTCGGCCTTTCTTTTGAAAACCGCGCTCTGATTGGCTGAGTCTCCAGGCCCGCGCCCGTTGTCCCGCGCGCTGGCCAATTGGCACTCGTGTTGCATCGTACGGGACATAGACGAGGGGGAGGTGGCGGCGGCGGCCATTTTGAGCCGCCGCCGCCATTGGAGTGGGGGGCCCCCCCCTTTCCCCCTTCGCCTCCTGACAGGAAAGGTTTAAGGGGGACAGAGCCCTGGGAGGCCGGGCCGGGCTCGGGGGCCGCCCCGGGGGCCCGGGCCATGGATGTGCGCCGTCTGAAGGTGAACGAACTTCGCGAGGAGCTGCAGCGCCGCGGCCTGGACACTCGCGGCCTTAAGGCCGAGCTTGCTGAGCGGCTGCTAGCGGCGTTGGAGGCCGAGGAGCCTGACGACGAGCGGGAGCTCGAGGCCGACGACGAACCGGGGAGACCCGGACACAACAACGAGGAGGTCGAGACCGAGGGGGGCTCCGAGCTGGAGGGGACCGCGCAGCCACCGCCGCCCGGGCTGCAGCCGCACCCCGAGCCCGGCGGCTACTCGGGGCCGGACGGACATTGTGAGAGTGCGCGGGGCGGGGGCCGGGGAACCCGGAGTCTGGGCCGAGGAAGGGCTGTGGGACGCGGGAGTCCGGCGTCAGAGGTGGGGAAGACGGTCTGAGGATCGGGTGATCCCGCGACCCGCCGCTGACAAGGACCGGGGCACAAGGCCCTCGGGAGATCGGAGGGTGGATCCTAGCGTTCGGTGCAGGGGAGATCGGGGTGGGGGCTCGGTTTCAGAGATGACAAGGACGCGAGCAGGTGGGGCCCCGAGACCGGAAACCGTTGTTTGTGGAGCCTGAGAAAGTCGGAAGGACGAGAGGCTTTCTCTTTGCGATCTGGGGGGAGGGTCTTGGAAATGGTGGTCCTGGGTTCGGAACTGGGTGGGCTTGGCGGCGGGGCCGGCCCAGCGTGTGGACAGAGAGTAAGGAGCCGTGTTCCCAGGGTTGGGGAAGGAATGGCCAAGGGTCCTGCCTGGGCTGGGACAGTTGTGAGGGCGGAGGATCTTGAGTTTGCGGCCGGATGGGGTACTGGGAATTCTCGTGTTTGTTTCTGGAGTGGGCTGGTGAGGTGGAGGCCCTGGTGCCTTTAGATGGGAGCAAATGATCGCCGGAGCCTTTGGTGTTTGGCTGGTGAGCATTTAGAGGATGTGGGAGACCAGCGTGGGGTTGGACTTTGAGGGGCCCACATCTCTCTTCCTGGGCTCGAAGACCAACCTTGAGACAAGCACAACTTGGGCATTTGATGCTGAGAGGTCTGAGAACCTTCTAGTGGGCTTCTAGAGGAGATGCAGGGAACGTTGGATGTCCAGACATTGGCAGGGAAAGGAAAGATGTTTAACTGGGCATAGGAACTGAAGGTCTAGAGCTGGGAAGACTCTGAGGACAGATAGCTCCAGGGGTTACAACTTAATGGTTTGGGGTTAACTATGGACATTTTTAAAAACGGGGGTAGCTGAGGGTGGGAGCAGAAAACAAGTTGATGGCATTTGAAGTTGATGAAGTATGTGAGGGGCAGAGAATCCTTGTGTCCAGCATGGAAAGTGTATATAGCTGGTCTAGCAAATGTGGGGGAGGGGAAGCGCGTAGGTTGTAGAAAGAGAAAGGAATTAACTGTTGACTTGGCCTGGGGCCCCAGGGTGGAGTAGGGCCAGTGTTTAGGGGGCTGAGTCTCTCCAAAAGCGAGTTCCTAGGTCCCTAGAAGCAGTTACTTGTGTGCTCAAGAAGTAGTGGGGAAACTCCATCAGCCAGGAGGTGTGAGTATGAGAGTGAGAGGGGTCAGGGTAGATGTGCAGTCCTCTCAGGAGAGGAGACCATGATAGAGGAGAGATTGAATCTGTTACAAAAGGGTAGCTTTCTAGCAGGACTGGAGAATGGGATTGGAAGAGCTAAGGAATAAGTAGAAAGGACTCTAGTGGCCTGGATTTGTGGTGTTACTCTGAAAAGAGTGTACCTTGAGTCTTGAGGGTAAGGGAGTAAGGAGTGAAATGAGAACACAGAAGAGATTTGGGATTGGCATTGGGAACTCACTTATTCTTGAAAGGTGAGATCTCCTAGAGGAGGCTCTGAGTGCAGATTTGGGATAAAATGGCTTAAGAATTTTTCTAGGACCCTTATGCTGGGAAGACTGAATTCTATGGCACAGACCTATGAAGGAGAAAGGAGTGGCCAGCATGTGTGCCTAGAGCTGAAGGGACCCTGGCAGGAATGCCCAGAAGTGCCTAGAGGGCAGTCCTGGCTTGGCTGTTGTCCAGAAGGGTCTTTGAAAGGAGAGCAAGTTGTGTGCTTTAGAGCACAAACTCTAGATTTGAACTTTATTTCAAATCTGGCTCCAAGACTAGGGAAGTCACTTTACCCCTGTGAGCCTGGTTTTCTTTTATGTAAAATGAGGATAATAACAGTGTCCCCCAGGATAGTTAAGAGCAAGATCATTTGTATGATGGACTTCACATTGGACGTGCCTGTTACTAGGAGGGAGATGTTTTAGAGAGTGGAAAAAGAACCCCAGAATCATTGC